TCTTGACAGTAACTCGATCGTCATTTATCATCGCCATTATGGATTCCCGGCGAAAAACATGATTGGTGAGGAAAATTATAAAATTCAATCCCCGCATCGTCATACACCCATCAAAAAAAACACGAGAAAATACTTGGGATCTCCGTGCCAGAATGGCAATGATTAATTATTTCGATGTACTTTGGTACAGGGAAGCAACGCGTCAAAAGAAATTTGGGCATCAGAAGCAGAATTATTGATTTACTGAAAATGGAAAGAAGTCAAACTGTTATGAAATTGACCAATTTCTATTATTTTTCCAGTTTATGATTACCATGGAAAAATTTTGAATTCACACCGTTTTTAAATGGAGTGTCACCCAAACATCACTCTGGTAATAAAAGCCTTCTTCTGAAGTTTTCGTGCACTCCTCAAAGCGCAATAATGCCACATGAACGAAAGTCGAGACGAAAGTCGTTTTTGAAGGTTCCGAAGCACATGGATTCTTAATGAAAAAAATAATATATCGTCTCGAGGCAACGTATCAGCAAGTATGTTATTTCTACTAGCGAGTCTTCAAAAAAATCACGTTACTTCAATTGTTTCAAGCCCTATCGTTGTTTCCTAGGGTAGTAACGGGGTTTTCTGAAGGCCCCTCTTCCTATCGTGGATATACCTTTCCGCGGGATCCTGAAATGCATCAACCGACGGAAGAATACTAAGTACTCCATGGTTTGGGAAATGGGAATATGGTCTCGACATAGATCGCGGGAAGCGATATGGATTGAAAGGCACGCTGCAAACGATTGAGCGGGCGTACCACAATATATGTATAGATCTGCGCTCTGCATACTTACAAAAAAACACCTCTTAAAAAGCTCCAAACAACAAACCCCCTGTATGATCGGAGTCTTGAACAGATTTCGAAGTAACAATTCACCTTCACTTCACTCCCTTGTTAAACGGAAGGCAATCTTCAGATGAATCATATTCAGAGGTATCTACAGGGTGAGTCATAACTATTGGGACATAGACTAAGGGCGGATTGTTTGGACCAAAATATGGCGATAGGACTAAATATGCCTTTATGGAATATTGCTGTGGAAAAAGATACAGGGCGTTGAAGTTGACTTTTTATTTTCGTTTTTTGTCTATAATTTCACTGTGAATTCATCAATTATTGGTATCAAAATTGGCACAAGTTTATACAGGGAATATTATTTTATGTACTATTCTACATTTTGACGCCACGTTACTTTTTTTGACGAAACTTTCGAGTGATTTTGATAAAAAAATATGACCTAAACATCATTTCTACGTAATATTGGTACTCTTGTTTGTACACGATATTTTCATCCGTTTTCGAGAAAAACGCTATTGAACAGTTCATCAGAGTCTCAGATAAGTTAATCACAAATATTATTTCATTCATGAAGGGTGTGCTTTGAACTGTCAGATAATGTTGCTGGTAATGGCATTTTTTGTCAGGGAATGAATTTTGGTGCGAGTTTATAGTCAAAATGTTTTCGATTGACATGCCTCGTCACAATCATTTTATGAATGAATAAATGCGGGATGCAGCCAGAAGGTATGAATTGTAATATCTCTAATATCTAGGCATAAAGCAACCAAAATCACGAAACTTTTTCAAATATATTTCATATACAGTGAACGTATTAGCAAAAAAACGACAAAAAACGAAGAAAAGCAACTGTAACGCCCTGTATCTATTTTCACAGCAATATTTTATTGAGGCATGTTTGGTCCAATCGCTATATTTTGGTCCAAACAATTCGCCCTTAGCCTATGTCCCAATAGTTATGATTCACCCTGTATACATAGGTATCATATATATATATACTATAGGGATTCCCTTTCGTGCGCTCCAAGCGGTAAAAAAGAAAAAAAAAATAGGAATTTCACATTCTCATGGCAGTTTTTCAAAGTGATTTCGAAAAAAATATGGAATGTTTACCAACTCTTCTAGAATTTGTGATATCAGCACCAACTTTAGTTTTTCAAATGTAGGTCAAAGCTCACTATGACTTAGTTACAAATAACTTTTTTTTCTCTCACAGATGATACCTATGTTGCAGTAATAGTTTTGTGTTGATAACAACGGAGTTATCGTCATTTATACAAAAACAAAACATTATTTGGAAGCCGCCATCTTGAATTTATGACTTTTAACAAAAAAATCATAATCTCCGACTCCCCCACTCACCAATTTTGAATGGAATCGGACCAAATCTTGTCCGCCATCTTGGAGCAGCCATTTTTTTCAATTTCAACAAAAATTCCATAACTCCGATCAACTTGAAATTCAACAGGTATTCATATTTTCGGTGACAATACATTATGGAATTTTTGTTGAAATTAAAAAAAATGGCTGCTCCAAGATGGCGGACAAGATTTGGTCCGATTCCATTCAAAATCGGTAAGTGGGGTTTTTGAGGTCGGAGATCATGACTTTTTTGTTAAAATTTATAAATTCAAGATGGCGGCTTCCAAATAATTTTTTTGTTTTTGTATAAATGACGATAACTCCGTTGTTATCAACACAAAACTATTACTGCGACATATCATCTGGAAGAGAAAAAAAAATTATTTGTAACTAAGTCATAGTGAGCTATGACCTACATTTGAAAAACTGAAGTTGGTGCTGATATCTCAAATTCTAGAAGAGTTGGTATAAATTTCATATTTTTTTCGAAATCACTTTGAAAAACTGCCATGAGAATGTGAAATTCCTATTTGAATATTTTCATAAATAAAGAAGTAACGGAGGAGACATGAAAATGATCAAATTCTGTTTTTTGCGTATAAAACAAAAACGAATAGATTTTATCAAATTTTTTTTTTCACATTATAGTTGGCCTTGACAAACTCCACATTTGGTGCCATTTAACCGACCTCGTATCTCTCACCGTTTAAAAGATACACATGGTGAGCATGGTAAGTGGGACACACTGTATTTTCGTCGAGATAACAGTAAAAAGCAGAGTGTACCGAACAGCGCCACCGCCACTACCAAAATTTGTATAACATCATTAAAGACATATTATATTGTTTATCTGATTACCCATGATGATGATCTATAGAAAATCCTAAGAGAAAAACATCATAATTCGATATATTTACTTTCCAAAAGGGCCCAAAATTCTTGTGCGGTGTGCCTATAAGATGACTATAAGGGCCCCCAGCATTAGTTTAAGACGGCCTTGCTTTATCCAATTATTTCATTTACGTGGTTCTGAATGAAAAATCTAGTGAATGAGTACAGAAACAGAATGATTCAACAGGTAATAACACAATGTGTTTGAGTCCGACATTAGACGCGCATCAAAAATATTTGAATTCACCGCCTGTTTTCAAGCTATCACCCTTTTACAATACTGTCCCGAGACGCTCGAACTTTCCCAATTGACCAGTGGCGTGCGTTTCCCCCCTTTTCGGGTATCGAATATCAAATTTCCTCAATAAAATTGCTTTTGTTTGCGATGTAAGCAGTCAAGCTCTACGATGTTGATAATAACAAGAGCAAAATCAATCAGCGGCAACTTTTATCCCATAATGATCATTATAGACATTTATAGGGTCCTATAGCCTACACCTACTCGAGAAAAATAATAAAAAACATGCAATGTGAAAGCACTGCAGTTCCTTGTGCGTCTAAAATCATTCCCTATCGAATAATCATTCTCTGCCAGATCGTATGATGAACTGTTAGAATTTGAAAAATATTTTATTTTCGATAGTTTTTGCAAAGAAATGATAAGCTAATTCTGGGTCAAGGAAGATAGGTTGGTAATCATCTCAAGATAATCATGATATCAATATATGATAACTTGTTGAATCGTATATGGTAGACTCTATATACTTACCTACCCATACGCGGAAAAAACGGAAATTTCTAAAATATTTACTTTCAATACTCTTGCAAAAAACTGTTCAGTTGCTAGAATCATGCTATCAAAAAGCGATTATTTGCCTAATCCTATGGTAGACTCCACATACCACACGCAAACACAAAAATTTCGAAAATATTATTTTTGATACTTTTGCAAAAAACTGCGCTCAACTGCTTTTGGGTCAGGAATAAGATGAATAATCGCATGTCTAGAATCATGCTATCAAAAGATAGTTCCATGCCAAATCGCATGGTAGACCCTATACACGCAATAACAGAAGTTTCCGTAAATATTTTTTTTCGATAGTTTCGCGCAAAATATCTGGAAAAAAAATATTTTCAAAATCTCTGTTTTTGCGTGTGGAGTCGATCATGCGATTAAGCGAGGAATTATTGTTTGATAGCATGATCTTCCTGACTCCGAAGCAGCTGGACAGTTTTTTGCGAACGAATCGAAAAAAAAAATATTTTCCAAATTCATGTTTTCTGCGTGCGAAGTTCTACCATAGGATTAAGCAAGGAAGTATTTTGTGATAGCTTGATTTCAAACCCATCTCGCTGACCCAGAAGCAGCTGATCATGCAGTTTTTTGCAAAAGTATTGAAAGAAAATATATTTGAAATTTCTGTTTTTGTGTTCATTAATTCTACCATATGATTTGGCAAGCCTTTATTTTTAGTTGGCATGATCCTTGACATGATCAACTATGTTCCTGACCCAGAAGCAGTTGCAAAAGTATTGAAAATAAAATATTTAGTCTTCCGATCATAGGAAATTGGCATGAAATGATTAGATATAGGTATTTGATATTTTTTAATCTTGCTGGTTTTTATTTCGAGTTCCTAGGCTATAGGACACTTCAATGTCATCATGATCATAATGGGTTAGATATTCCCGCTGACTGATTCTGTTCTCGTCATTATAATATTATATTATATAATATTCCATAATCGATACCCGAAAAGTGGGGAAACGCGCGCCACTGATCAATCGGGAAAGTTCGGACATTCTGGCAGCCAGGTATGATAGCTAACTTCACGTAGATGTCAAAATCATGAATGTCAAAAGCAAGGTGGATGTCAATTGTCAAGAGGTTATCAATGTTGTCATTATTTATTGTCATGTCAAAATTGTCAAATATCATTGGTCACCGGTGGAGTCCGGACGACTAGGAAGTAGGAATTTCTTGAGTTTCCAATAAAGAGTTTGTTTAGGTTCCAACAGAAATATTCCATCTTAACATTAGCAATGGAGGATATTCTCTCAAAGCTGCTTGTATCCAACAGTAAAACTATACAGGAGGTATGTAGCATGCCATATGTCCTAACCTACAAATACACGTGTAGATTAGATATTTTAAATTTCTTTAAAAAAGGGAACCAAAGAGTTGAAGGAGGCTTTCAAGAAACCTGAGGCGATACCTGCTTTGTGCGATGTATTAGTAACATCAACACATCCTCAAATAAGACAATCCGCTGCTGTGCTCCTAAGGCGAAAACTCGGTAAAAAGCGCCAATGGAGCAAAGTCAACATAGAAATTAGGAATAGGTAAACTTGTTTTATATGCTTCTATCTGCCCTTCATCATTGTTGATTTCAGAATCAAACAGGGTATGTTGCAAGCCCTAGTTAATGAACAGGAAAAACTAGTTAAGAATTCCATAGCACAGTTCATTGGAATATTGGGAAAGCATGAATTTCCAGATAATTCTTGGCCAGAGATCCTCCAGTTTGTTCATACTCTCACTAGCAGTGATACAATTTTTGATAAAGAGGTGAGTAAAAAAAGATTACATACATTCATTAACTTGTTCATTTAACACCCAGTCAGCAATGAACCTGATATTACTGTGACTCATTGGGTTAATTATATAGAATATAAATGAGGATGAGTGATGACTAGTTGCCAGGAATATTAAATTACTTCATTTCCTGTTCCTAAAATGGAATGCATTCTTAAATCTACTTAGTTGACTACCTGCATGATTTTTAACATATCTACTCATCACAAGACTCATCATGTAATTCAATAATGTTATTAATAAAGATAACAAAATGTAATTACCCACAAACTTCCACGAAGAAAAATGTATACATAGTTAAGTAGAGATAGGACATTGCAAAACAAAATCACAATATTTGCTTAGTTTTGTATCATAATAATAATTATTTGAACAAAGGTGTTATGAGATATATTTTTGTGGTGTGTATGGTGTGTATTAAAACACTATTCTAATAATATCTAATGGTAATCTATTGAATGTTGTCATGTATAGATAGGGTCAGTTTGAGATTGAAAGTTTTAAATTTTCTAAAATATATTGATAGTGAACATGAACTACCCACTAGTGAAATATCATGTCTAGTTCCAATTAATCCTTATATTTTTTGTGTCATTCAGTCTCACATTCATTGGACATGAAAAATACATGATTTTCCACTTTTAAAATGGTGTTCACTGATTAGGTCCAAATATTGGATTCAATGGGATAATGCCATCTGAAAGACAAAGAAGCTGTGGTTTCAAATTCCACACCCTTCACATTATTTTGAAACATTTTTTATTGTAAATACTTTCATTATATACAGAGTGTTTTATGTAGGCCACTCATCAGAAGTTTTTCACCAGCTGGTTCAACAGCTGTTAGATTAAAAACTTGGAATGCTGTTATAATCAATTATTCCCAATCTATCTGAAATATTTTCAGTCCTCTAGCTATACAGAGTGTGCCAACTTTCTTATTTTGAATAGAAACATACATTTTCTCACAAGGTTCCATGGGCAATTCAATTCTGACTTTAGACAACCTGTTTCATGTCAACTCATCTATCACAGTTTTTGAGATATATTATGTACAAGGTGTCCCAGAACAAAGTACCATAAATTCTACAGGGTGACTGGTACTGGTACTGGTGAGGGACCAACTAGTCTCTAATGGGAACTTTTTGCAAGCCCCAAGGTGTTTTCAATGACTGATGTGGTTTGCTTAAGAGAGCTGGCTAACATCCTTTCCCCATCAGCTCTACAGGGTGAACTAGAGATCAAAATAGGCCAATTGAAATCAACTTACCTCCATATGAAAATGCACCTTTGAGCCATGAGCTGGCAATGAAGAACAAATTTCTTTCCAGATTGTTTTCAATATTTGAAAATCCTGAAAGGTACTGCTCTGAAATCTGTAGGGCAATTTACTATAGTGACTGTGCATGGAAAACATGTCACACCATTTCATTCAATATACAGAGAGTTAGGTATTTCACATTCTCTTTGATTAAAACTCAATGTAACTTTCTTGAAGTCCAGAACTGGCCACATTTCAATATTTCAAAGAATGTCAATATCAATTATCTTACTTTTTTCCAACTGCAGTTTTTTTATTATTTTCCTTGGTTTTCCAGGTTAATAACAAAATTCATTTTAGTGCTTCTTCACAGGACTCATTTATGATGTTGGAATTGTCATGTTTTTCTCCTCTCTACCTCATTGGTGTTGATTTATTGACCACACCAATTTACAAGCTCTTCATCATTTAAGTTGGGAGCTGGTCATTTCCAAATTTCACTTCAAGATTTCTGGTGAAAAAACTTGATTCTATAAAAAATGATTGAATTTGAAGATGGCCAATAACATAATCAGATGCTGAAGTAAATCATAAACATGATTATTGTGGTCAATAACTCAACACAAATGAGACAAAAAACAAGAATGGAGGAGCACCATAATGAATTTTGCTAGATATCTCGAAAACCAAGAAAAATTATAAAAATACTGCAGTTCAAAAAAGTCATCTATCTCAATATTAAAATAGGGTCAGTGCGAAAATACCTAACTCACTGTATATTGATTGAATTGGTACAACATGTTTTCATGCATATTCCCTATGGTGAATTACTCTACGAATTCCAGAGCAGTACCTTTCAAGGATTCCAAAATATTAAAGAATATCTGGAAATAACATTGTTCTTCAATGTCCTCTCACGGCTAACGGTGAATTTTCATATAGAGGTAAGTTGATTTCAATAGGCTTAATTGGGTCTCTAGGTCACCCTGTAGAATTTATGGTACGTTTTTGTGGGACACCTTGTATATAATTTTTTTGGAAAATAAGTACGGCCATAGTAGTTCCAGAAGACATTTGTAGCTTGCAAATAATGGTCCCATTTCGTACCATATGGGGCGATTTTCTCCAAATGTAGCAGTGAATAATTGCCTATAACCTATAACTTGAATCTTTCAAATGTCACGTACTATGGGTTGCGTGCAAGAACTGTCAGATGACCGACCTTGGTGGTGAAATATTGAAACACAACCTCACTTTTCTCATTTGTTCACAAATGTTTGAAATAGTTTTTCACAATTATTATTTTGGCATAGAAGTCCTGTTGCTATTCATTAATTCGCGCATGGCATCACATCGCGCTATTGTACAATGCACAAAAAATGCAGCGAGAGACAAAGGAATCCGGTTGGTACATTATGATTTAAAAGTATGTACCTACTATAGTTATAGTCGTATTCAATAAAATAGCGTAGAAGTAATAAAAAGAGAGGATTTTGTGATCCTAGTTCTAGTTGTGTTAAACTGTCAACATTTGGTGAACAATCATTCCCGATAGCCCGTTTTATGCAGAATAGGATGACGTTAATTTCTCTCTGTAATATACTTGTACGCTTTTTTTTAATGCCACTGTACATATAGTTTTCATTTTGTGATTTGGTAATTTCTCTGATTTCTCATCGGAATTCCTTCTGCAATCGGGCATTTCTAAAAGGATTCAAGAAGATTGGATTCATGCAATCAAACGGGAGGACTGGTCTGACATGCTGAAGAAATATGATCATGTGTTTGTAGACATTTTCAATCTATTAGCAGTATTAGCTTCTATTGCAGAAGGAATTTCAATTGGATATGACAACATTTCTAGCTACATGTTTTGTGCATTGTTCAACAGCACAATGAGAAGGCATGCTTGAATTAATGAATAGCGCAAAAAACACGATTTGTATGCCAAAATATTGTGAAAAACTATTTCAACCCTCCGATTCCTCTGTGAACAAATAAAAAAAGTGAGGTTGTGTTTCAATGTTTCACAGAAAAGTGAGGCTGTGTTTCAATATTTTACCTCCAGGGTTGGTCATCGTGCAAGTGACCTATACTTAAGCATTCCCTATACCTAATTCAAACCTCTATCCAGTTAATCAATAAAAATCAAGAAAATTACTAGTGCATCCACATTTCTTCATCAATTTATTTTCTTTCAGTTGGGAATGTATACTTTATCTATAATGACAGAAGTATCTCAAAGTTCCTACATTATACATGCTGAATCATTCGCGGTTCTTTTCTCTAGCATGTTGAATCAAGTATCTGACCCCAAATCAAACTTGGCTTATTATACTGTAATTACAATGAAAAATCTTGTATCAGTTATTGGAAGTCACCAACAAGTGAGTATCTACATGTTTTCCTGTATTAGAATGAACTCTTCCAAGATTAGTGTGACTGAAAGTGTTGAAAATGCTTCTTGCATACTCAGTGTATCAATAAATAATGTCCTTTGGAGTTTCCAAACCAAAAATATACAGGTCTTAAGAGTCTGCATTGAGAGGACCTATTTAAATATCTAATATCATGACCAAGTTACATTCTCGGCAGATTCCTTTGCAAGGAAGAGTGCCGCAAGTAGTTTCATTGGACCAGAACCTGCCATTGGCATCTCACCAAGTGTTGCCTAACATATACTGAACACCTGGACTGTAAGAAGAGTTTCAAACTTCTGGCAGAATCTAACAGGATTGGTTCTTTCCAATGCTTTTATACATCCTTTGAAGAATGTTATCAAACAAATGTTGAAATACAAGAGGTGACCTACGCCAGGGCCTACTCTATCTCACCGGGTCGTAGTCTATCCCCTCTACCTCGATGCTGACGTCACTCTATTAAAAGGTTATAGCTCATTTACTTTAAAAATTGCAAGCACACTCAATCGAGAAGAATTGATCCCTGACTACCCAACTTTCGGTAAAAATATAAATTCATTAAGATCAACCAGTACCGATTTATGATGTAAAGAAATTCAATTTTAATGAAAATCAGGACGTTGTACTACGGAATAATATTTTTTGCCAATTTGGAATCGGTTTAAAATGAAACTGACTCAGTATGTCAAACTAGGATAATGCATCAATTAAATAGTGAGAAAATTAATGAGCTACCTTCAATGAGTCTGAAATAAATTAAAAATACCTACCTAATTTCCCCGTATTAACGATTTCGCGGTAATTTCCTATAGGTAAAGGGTACTGCACGTTTTTTTTACTAATGTTCCAGTTGTGGGTCTTGATATTTTGAAAACTATATTGGATATTGTGTGGAATAATTAGGTATTACATATGAAATATAGCAGGATACAGTCGAATAATAAGAAAAGAACAATTATCAGACATTCTGGAGGAATATGGAGCTTATTTTGTAATATCTGGCTATTTTTTCTCTTTCATTATGTTGAATATTTTCAGAATGGCTTTCGTTTAGTATTGTGTGTATAAGAACTGGATATTTTTTGTTCTTTTTAATTGTCATATTTTGAAAATGTTTTCAAATCAATTTCTTCATTAATATGAGATTATTTATAAAATATATACTCCATAGCTGAAAATAATTGATTCGCTGTCATGGTTTTTGAAGTTGAAAAGGTATAGTGTGACGTCACAAAAGCGATGCTCCGGCCCTGTGAGATAGAGTAGGCCCTGCCTACGCTCTCTAACAGGCCTGCTTGGAATCACTGTCGTTTGAATTATCACATGTCAAGACTAGGGCTGTCGGATGATCCGACCTGCCGTCTCTGCCTTGAAGATGATGAAACAGCAGAGCATCAGTTTTTTGCTGATTGGCAGAGTTTCACTCTCGCCCTCGGACCTGAAAGATCACTCACCAAGTAAACTAATTGGCTCCATTAAAAAGCTGGATCTACTTGGTGGACTATGAATTGGTGTGAGCCACAATAGACCTTTACAGGTTGCAGTGGAGGGCCGAATAGATCCACTCACTTGTAACCTAACCTAACATTCTCATGAAGATTGTCAAATACCTTTATATGAAGTAGTATCTTTCTTGAAAAATCAATTTTTTAGGACCAAAATCAGGAAATGTTGTCATTGTATTCGTATTTTTTTCATATGCTCAGACTTAACCTCAGCAAAATCTCAAAAAGAAAATAGGAATTATTTGATTGTTTAATTCTTCTCATCTAGAAGTTGATGCATATTTCTTCTGATTTTCCTTTAGTTTTCAGTTCGGTCTTTGTTAAGTTGCATGTTCAATTACAAAGAACAAAACTCAAAATACCTATATTTTTATATGTTCATCGATTACGTCATCGTGTACTAATTGAAAATGTCTTCAGTGCCCTAGTTCGGAAATAAAACAATAACAACAAAACATGCAGCTAATAAAGCCTAAAACTAATTTGTTGAGAAGTTTCCTTGTTTCATTTATATATATGATAACAACTGTCATAGGCACATCATTTGAATGATCTGGGCAAATGTAGGATATAAAATACGTATTATTTTTCAGATGATAAATGTGTATCATTCATTGTTGCCAAAAATATTAGAGATAATCAATAGCACTGCACATGAAGAAGATAAAAAGGCTTGTGATATGTTTGAAATCATTGAGGAACTGATAGAATTTGCAGTTAGTGTTGTTGTCCCACATATTAGACTCATAGTCGAAATGTGCCTTCAGATAGCCATTAACAATTCTTTATCGAAGATTGTTCAAATCAAAGGTATAAGCGTCGTCGGATGGTTGATTCGTTCAAAGGGAAAGGTAAGCAATAAAACAACATAAGGACTAGTAATTTCACTGGCTGCATTTTTTTGTGAACAATATTTGAGTACAGGTGGTGCAGAAAAATAAATTAGTGGAACCAATAATTGATGTTCTGATTCAACTGATGGCTCAGCAGCCTGAGGACGAAGGAAACGAGGAATATTTTCTTGGAGATCCAGACCAATTTACATCCATAACTGTCGCAACTCAAACGTTGGATCTGATTGCTTTGCATATTCCTGCAGACAAGGTGATTCCTTATATTTTGACCAAGGTGGAACCAGCTATTCAAGGTAATTATATTCGAGAAATCAGAAGTAGTTTTCCATTGAGTTTCGCAATCAAAATACTACCTAATTTCAAGCAACTTCAAGTTATCAGAAAAATCCAGGTGAAAATATGTGAAAATGGAAAACAGGTAGTCAAATTGAATTTCTTGTTGTGAACTTTTTGAAAAACTGAAGTCTGTAAAAAAATCAAACTACCATGAATCAATACCAAATATCGTTTGAGCGAAATGAAAAGTAGCTAGAAAACGTCTTTTTATAGGCATTCTAGTCAAATATGGTCGTCGACTATGATTTGATGTTTGTTTCAATCAATAATCATTTTCATCAATATGAAAATTTGTATCAAAAACAGCTTAAAACTCAGATATTTCTTGATTGCATAATTCGAAATTGGAACCAGAAAATTTATGTTCAACAATTCCGAGTGGTTCCGGAGATAAGTCTTGAGGGGCTTCATGAAAAAATTTGCAAAACTATGTTTCTCTGGTATTGTACACTTCCATTTATATATTTTTTAGTTTTCCTAGATTATCAGTTTGGAGGGATGTATGCACTTTCATTAGGCATATAGTTATTTTGAGAAATAACAACCTGTTGAAAAGAATTATATTCGAATTCGACTTTTATTTTGTAGGTTCCGACATTTACGCTCAAAAGGCCGCTTACCTAGCCCTGGCCGTTTTAGCCGAAGGCTGTTCGGAAAAGATCAGGAACAAGTACTTGGAGTCCTTCTTGAAGTGTGTCTGTACTGCCATACACAACCCCAATGCTGTAGTTAGGAATGCAGCGTTTTTTGCTCTCGGACAGTTTGCAGAACATTTGCAGCCCGAGATCAGCCAATTTGCCTCCGTGTTACTGCCGGTACTGTATTTCAATGACCTTATTTTCGATGCAAAAACGTTGTTTTACGAACATGTCGCATATATTTCTAAAAAGGCAAATAGGATACCAGGGTTCATTATTAGAGCATGCTACAATTTCGAAGTTTCTAACACTGCTCATATACTTTTTATGTCCTCTATCAATAGGCAGAAAGTTGAATTTACTAAGTCTTGAAAATAGAAGATATATTGCCGACATATAATTCTCCTTTGAATTGGTTGATATGTAATATGATAGACCCAATGTCAATCAATGATTTCATTCAATTTAACACTCACCATACTCCGCTTAAAGTCATCAATTATTCCACACAGAAACATTCAACACAAATTACTATTGAAACTTCTCCCATCATCGCTGCTTCAAAAATCTCTGATTTATATAGAAATATTTTGTATTTACTACCTTTGTAAATGAAGTCAAATCACAATTTTTCTCTAACCTTTTATCATATTAGCACCATGCACATCTATTGTATTTCTTTAAAACTTTGTATGTCATAATAATTTTGCAATATCTACTAAATATCTTGACATAATAATATATTTGTTGGGATTATCATCTGCTTTTGAATTCCAAATATCAGAAATAATCAGAAATATAACATTCCCAATCCAATTTTATTAATTTCATTGAAAATATTCCAAAACAAAAATTATTATTAGTTTTCATAGCAAAATCTTGAAACAGTTTGAAATACCGAATGTTTGATGTAGGTAGTGATTCATACATTAGATAGAGCTCAAACAATATTTATTATCATGTTATATAATTACAATCTCCCTGTGAATACTGCTCTTATGCTCTTCCTGTTTGTATTCTTAAATATATAAAGAAATGAATAAATCACAACAATCCCAATTTCATGAGGATTAAAATTCTAAACTTTTAATTGCTTTCCAATGTAGGCACGGGGAGAGTAAAAAAAATTACCTATTTGCATTACACACAGCCTTCTATTTATTTGTGGATAACGTCCGAATAAATATTTTCTTAATGTTTTTTCTTTCAATACATTTGTTTCATAAACAGATTGCATCAAAGTATAGAAGAACACGGTGGTCATCTCAGGGACGTGATCTATACAAACTCAAAGTGTTATAAGAAATTACCCGAATTGTGTTTTAAGTTATAATAGTAATAAGACCAGATATATTTCTTTGTTTCTCAACAGTGGCTTATTAAAAACCGTTCAATCATGTTGCCGAACCTTGTATAATTACGGTATAAAATTTCCTTACCGATTCCCCCACGTGCTTGAATTAATTGCGGTAAATTTGTCTCGTCCATGAATTTTTATAGAAAATTCATGTACTCAAAAAATGTCCGGCAATAATTCATGCTCTAGGGAGATTATAAGTAATAACTCTAGCCCATCGCAAGATTGTAGACATCGTAACGATGGAGGCTTTTATCATTCAGAAACAACCCGTGAACCGAACACAAGTGGAGTCGGCTGTGGTTCATGCTAGAGTTGCTAAATATACTTGACATTGCTGTTTTGACGTTTTTTGTATATTAGAGTATGGACACTATGACAAACACTGACAATCAGACATAACCACAAATAAATTGATGGAAAAAACGGGAACTGACAGTACACGGACGTACATGACATATATTTCAAAGGTTTGACAAATTGAGAGAATTAGGAGAAAGATGCAAGTTTGTGCAGTTTCCAACTTTGAGAACAAGGGAAATCAATTCACTCTATTTGAGTTTCCATCGGATAACGTAATTCTCCAGAAATGGAAGCAGAATATGATGCGGCCGGCATGGAATATAGGTTCAGGCCACAAAATTTGCAAGGTATTCAAATTTCTTGGTAGGATATAGAACATTTTTCAACGCATTTTTATCAGGTACACTTCAGAGCAAGATATTATCAGAGCACAGAACAAGAATGCTTAACGAGTGCACAATTTATGTTAGGTATTGAAAATAATCTTCCGATGGCCGGGTTCTAACGAACAATCCCCTTATGCGATGTGAACGGCGATCTATAGTGAGTCAAGCGCGCTGAAGTCTATTTATACCTACTTCCGTATGTCTTGGAGAACCTTTATTATTTATCCTAACTGAAATCACCTGTTATTGTTGCCATATCATTTGTTCATTTATTAATTACTTATTACCTACCACATAAGAAATAATAGTTATTTAACCAACTAGTGTATTAATGAGGGCGAACATTAACGCGCTCGCTTCGCTCGCACGTTAAAATATCTCGATCATTAATCGCCTTTTAATATACAAGTTGGTTAAAAAAAATTTCCGTCGACTATATTTCTCATTTCTCCTGCAATAAAGGAAACTTGGTTCGCGAATTCATCATTCATCGGAAACTGCTAAGAATCACCCAGTAGCCTTGTTAGTGACATTTGACATTTGTCGAAATGATCAACATAGAAAATAAATTCCTTGTGTTAGAAAACAGGGATAAAAATCGTGTCAGAAACTTGGAAAGGCGAACCCGTTAACGGAAAATCTTCGATGAAATCCATATTTTCGATTTAAATGCAAATTCCGTAAGTTATAGCATAAACAATGAATGCACGCGGTGTATGTTTGGTTGCCTATAAAACAATCGTGCATTAATAGACAAATCGTTTATTAATAGGGGTCATTAATGAACGATTTCATATACATTAAACTTAGTCATTAATACGAGGTCGACGGAAAAAGTATGTTTCATTGGTTGAAATTGATCAGTTTTTATCTCATTCTGAACTTTTGTGATATATACCTACATATAAGAGACTTATTTCATGAGAATAGTATATGCATTTTGTTGTATGTACATACCAACTTGATATCGACCTCCATTGAGATCCTTCAGCCTTATCATTCAATATTTCGAGAAGATATAATTTTCTAATCAATTTATCGTACCCTTTTACTCGAGGAGACGTTATGCACTCTCATACAAAAATCAAAGACAGAGAAAGATATATGGATGTACTCTTCCCTGGACTTGTGGAGGAAGGAAGATGCGAGGATTCTTTATCTAAGCGAAAAATATATTCTTGTCCTTGTTTGGCAAGACATATGATTTGCTTCAAAATCGTTTGTGGTTATGTTTGATTGTCTCTGCTTGTCTAGTGTCCGTACTCTAATGTACAAAAAACGTCAAAACAGCATTGTCAAGAACATTTTGGAACTCTAGTTCATGCCTGTCATCCCAGAACGCTCTACAACCATCTCTTGCAGGTACTGTTCGAATGTCTCGGTCAAATTTTCACACAAATGGAGATCGAGAAGAAGGACCCGCCCAGCTTAGACAAGCTGTTCTATGCGCTGGAAACGTTCTGCGAGAACTTGGACGACGGTTTGATGCCCTACCTTCCGACGCTCATGGAAAGGTTGTTCGTCGCCCTGGACCCGACCGCGTTCTCCATGCAACTGAAAAGGGTAGCTCTGAGTACCCTGGGCAGTGTGGCGAGCGCCGTGAAAGAAGGGATGCTGCCTTATTTCGAGAAGACGATCGAGATATTGAATTTGTATATCAATTCGGATCCCAATTCTGAAGTATATCAACTCCAGTGTTATGCAATAGGTAAGAAAACAATATAATGTTTTCCGAAACGAAAATATGGTTTGTTCGTGTTTATTGATCAAATCAAATATTTTATTCATTCAAAAGACCAAATTTATGTATAGAATTTGTCAAGATCAAAGTACAGTACATGTTTTTTTTTTAAATTGAATGTGAAAACAACACAAATTGAAAGTGTAAAAAAACAGTCACATAAACAATTCATTGACATCATAAAATAGATTTGCCATGAGAAAATTTTTAATGACATTTCGGAACTTGGAGTGTGTTGATTCTTTATCTCTCCAGGTAATTGGTTATAGACTCTTATGCCAGTTGAAAGTGGTCCACTTGATGATATTTGAAGGCTATTCTAGGTGCGTTCGGTTATAACATATCTGTTAGCTCTATTCCATCTGTTAGCTCGGAATGCATTCGATAAATCAGATCTACTTTCTCTGTCTAATCTGCTCCGTGTTCGTTAATTGTCAGAGTGAGCTGAAAGATGTAATTTGTTTGCTCCGCCTTGAGGAGCAGATCATTCAGATTTGATCGGTTATTCGGTTGTCAGTTGTCAACAAATCAATGTCAATAACATGTTATTGAAATTATATATCTCTTTTGAGTCGAAAAATTAAAGACTCGATCAATTGGAAACGAAACACGAAACTGAATTTTGTAGAATCCTCTTTGCCCAGAATCACCAGAATGACCGACGAATTTGCTGTAGGTAGCATATTAATTAATATCTGTTATATATGCGATCACAACTGCCCTGGAGCCACAGTTAATGACCGATCATATGAGACAGAAACATTCCTTCCCTAGTAATTTTTAAAATATTCGTTGCCCTGACGTGTTTTTGAAAGTAATTAGGTTAAGTGAATTGTTTCTGTTTTCTGTTACTTCTGACAGGTGGTGATCACGTGACACCAAATCTGCATCTGCTCGCTCGGCTCCGATTTTGTTAAACCGAACGCACTTTCTGACTTGGGTATATGAACTGGTTGTATCTGGTTTGATAGCAATGTATATCCATATACCTTGGAAGAGTGTTTCTGATTTTATGAATGTAGCATGCTAATTCCATTATATAAAGACATGCTAGGGGTAATATATCCAGCTCAGATAATAGGGGTTTGCAAGAGAGTCTGTATGATAAGCTTTTCATGGTTCTCAATGTTTTTTTCTGTACTAGGAATAATTGCTGTGCCGCGAGAATTACCCCACAGAAAAATGCCATAACGTAAAGTGGACTGGAAACTGGAATGTCAACAACTTTCTGCATACATCGATTTTATCATTTATTTTGATACGCGTATTTGATTGGTCATTGAATGATGAATATTTTGAAATCATAAAGCTAAATCGAGTCACACAATAAACATCATGATTTTGTGTTTCCTGATACTTTGATCATTACACTTCACAGAGAACAGTATGGACTACATAGAAATACTATTCGTTTTATTGATGATAATCAAGAATGTCTCCTTGTTTTTGAAACAGACTTTTATCTCAGAGGAGCCAATTGATTTGTTTCTCAAAGTCCAAGGAATTTGTATTTTGACATATTTGGACAATCATCAATTTAGGATAACTTGATAGATGTAGTGTTTTTCAAACCATCGATTTTGTTTGGCGATTAATCATAACCCACTCAAAATGTGAATCAGTTACATTATTTATAAATAAAGCACTAGTTTGTTGACTGAAAATCAATTCATTCAACATCAGAAAAATTCGAAAGAGTGTAAGGGGCAGGTAATTTACTGTTTCCATTTATCACGCCCCTTGAAATAATTGCTTTGTTATTCTAACAATATTCGACGTTTCCATGAAAATTCCACATCTAACATTCTCGACCAATTGAAATTCTTCAAGTTGTATCCTTATCATAACAACTGAAAACATTTCTGGAAATTTTTCTTCTTTTTTGGGTAAGGAACACGACATTACAATGGAAATGTTTTGACGTTTAGGTAAAATGACATTAACATTCAACTTCAGATTATGTCGCATTTATCGAAAATGGATTTCCATCTACGGCTATAATTGATTGACATAAAATGTAACCTTTAAAATAATAATAATCTTTTTTATTCCCAAGAAACATATATGTTTATAGCAGGGAAAATTATGAAAGAGCAACAAAAAAAATTAGATAATCATTTTTAAATCATATACATAATACATATGTTGTTTCTTCTAGAGACTGTTGAATATAATTTCTTGAATTGATTCAGGATGATATAAAGAGAATCAAAGACATAAGTATTTTTTCAGTTCTTCTTTGAATTTCCCAACAATTAATTTTTTCTTTAGTCTGGCAGGTTCTAGAGAATTGTTCCATTGTATAAAATACATCTTTTACCCATATCTGACAATGAGGTGCTATTGGGGAAATTGAAAAAACAAATACCAGAATATATGTCTTATTCTTCTATTCACTGAAACCATTGTAATATAGAGCCACCAGCTGCCTTATCAATATTTTGGTACCTAAAGTCGTTATTTTGTATTTTATTTAGCATAATCTTATACTAGTATTTTTTAAATAATATTTCATTGTGAAATTCTCTTAACACATGCCATTCTATCTTCAATTAAAAATCGAAATGTTTTTCTTGAACAGGAGTGCTTAAAAAATTCCTGTTCTCGAAAAAATGTCTAGTAATAATTGATGCCTTAGTGGTATTATGAGTGGAAACATCCTGCAATATACTATTTTTCTAGAATCTCTCGCAGTGATTGCTCAGTTCATAGGACCAGATCATTTCAAACCGTTAGCTCCTGACTCGCTACAATTTGGTCTCAGGATATTGGATCAAACTTCCGATCCTGACTTGAAGAAAAGTATATATGCCCTTTTCGCCGCTTTGGCAATTGTTATGAAGGAGGAGCTTAGTCCTGCTCTCCCAAAAATTGTCAACGAAATGATAGAGAGTATACAGAGTAGTGAAGGAATAGTAGTAAGTGGAAATTTGAAAACATTTCAACTCTTGTTATGACTAATTTCATTAATTTTCAGACTCATTTTGAAGATGAAGAAAAGGAGGACGTAGACGTTTATGCCGATTTATCAGATGAAGAGGAAGACATTGAGGAAGATATAGATGGGTCTTCGACTGGTAGTGCTGATTCGGCACAATGTAGATATTCTGTGGAAAATTCGTATAATGAAGAAAAAGAACAGGCTTGTCTGGCTTTGCGAGAGATTTGTGTGCATACCGGGTGAGTTTGTGATATATTGTGATTAAGTTCAATCAAGCTGTACAAATAAATATACTTATAAAGTGGAATTCAACATTCTTGCATCAAAAATCTATGAACTTGGTATGGTTTTTGTTGTTCAGCGTTGAGCACATCCTTCGAATGACCATGAATTCACATAAAGATGATTATGTATTGTTTTTTTACTGGTTAAATGCTGCAATGTTGAAAAATTTGACGTCCCCATTGGCCAATTACTTGTTAATTCCAAATTAATGTTTTACATCCTCATATACGATTTTGATACCAAATAATGTTTTATTTTAATGCGAGTCTCGGTTGGAGTTTCACGGCCGCTAGCAAAACTTTTAACTTTTCATCTCGGGATGCCATTGTGAGATTGACTTATCAATTCATGTTCATGCAACGCCAATTGACAGCGACAACATACTCCGCTGATTTATTAGCGAAAGAATGAGAAAAATTTACATTAGAAATAATTGTGTTGCTGTAATATTGTTGCTTTGTGTAAACATCAACTTTAGTTCAGGTATCATTCACTTTCAGCATCAGGCTTTTGATTCCAACCGACTGAAGATCGGATAGGTTGTCAAAATAGGACTGCCCGAGAGCAGATGATCTTTTCCTGGATAGGGCAGGGCAATGACAGAGTGAGTGCATACGTGCAGCATGACATACTCCAAGTCAGTGTCCAGTGATGGCCGCAATCGCGTTTACAATGGAGCTCCTGGAAAGATATAAAATATCTTTAGTGCGTCTCAGGTTAAGCCGCGGCCATACCTGTCTTGACGAGGTGCAAGAAGGCTCCTCCCCGCCACCTAACATTGGTTAGGCAGAGTACTTCCTTCCGTTCCTCCGTTCAGCGATAGGTTCCCCTGGTCTAGTATTAGCGGATATAGCTGCGAGCGTCGTACCAGCTCTTGCTAGCTCGTCCGCCATACAATTATTCCCTGCTATGTCCCTGTGGCCGGGTACTCAGACAACATTGACTATTACTATATTCGCCAGCTCATCTAGGGCTTTGTATAGCCGCCTTTGAGGTCAGGTAGACTGAGTTTAGAGACTTTAATGGCAGCTTGGCTGTCACTTAGAATAGATATTTCATTGGACTCAAGTCCGGTTTGAAGTACCCAATTGGCTGTTTCATTTATAGCTACCATTTCGGTCGGGCTTGCCCAGCTAGAATATTATGCAGTGAATGAACAGCATATACCTCAACAATGGTTGTTATTTAGTCAATGGTAGCTGTCAGGCAGCAAGTATGCAGTTTTAGCTCACGAATGATGAACCCGCCACTCTAAACGTGTTCTTTCATCTGATAAATCAGCAGATAATTCAGCTGTCAGTTACAGTTATATCGAATACTGATAAACAATAACTAGAGGTTGAAGGAAAGTCATGTTTTTTGATATTCAGTTCCGCTTTTCTACCCTACATCGAGAAGAGCTGCGATGAGATATTCAAACTAATCAACTACACCCCCAAGACGACATCCGCAAGGCCGCCGTGGAGGCCCTCCTCCACTTCTGCATCGCCCTCCACAAGTGTCCCTTGCTGGAGGGCAACCTGGCCGCGATTTTACTAAATATACTGCACGCTAGCACAAACCACGTAATACGTCATATCTCCAAACATCACCGATGTACTGGGAGTCAGCACATCGCACTAAATATACTGTGCTCCAACGCGAGAATTCACTTTTTATGATTTTGACACGAATTCGACTGAAGCTCTCTCGCTGTCAATCTTTTGTATGCAGTAAATTTACATACCCAAACGGTCTACTGGTTAGCGCTGTGGACTCTCAGTCTGAAGGTCAATGGTTCGAACACAGATTAACAAACGTTTGAATCGCTGTGAACTTGAACTTTTTTTGCAACTTTTTTTTTCACCAATGTTTTTTTACTTCATTCTGGTTTTCCTTTTTCATAAAATATTTGAAGTCAAATAGGTTAGTGCGTTCAGGATAAACAGTCTCATTTTATTCAATTTTGTTGAAGAACTCAACTTTTGAAATATATTATTAATCAATGTGTTTCTACACTCCATTCGGTTTTCCTTCCTCAAAAATATTGCAATCAGGGATAGGTTAGTTCGTTAAGGATAAATAGTCTCTGAGTTTTGCCTAAGTACTTCGAAGATGAGATATTACGGTGGGCGTGGTTTGTGCTAGCGTACAGTATATTTAGTAAAATCGCAACCTGGCCCTATAAAATGCGTTGCAGAAGTTTTTCTACCGTCCATAAGATTTTCTTAGTCTCTCTTTACACTAATTTGCATTCACTTTCTCCAATGTCTGCTACTAATTCCATATTCTTGTAGTCGGTGGAGTTGACACCAATATCAGAGGTGACTAAAGGTTGAAGGGAAGTCATTTTTTTTTCGAATTTTTGTCATTCAGTTCCGCTTTTCTACCCTACATCGAGAAGAGCTTCGAGGAGATATTCAAACTAATCAACTACCCCCAAGACGACATCCGCAAGGCCGCCGTGGAGGCGCTCCTCCATTTCTGCATTGCCCTCCACAAGTGCCAGACGCCGGAGGGCAAGCTGGCCCTCTACAAGGCGTTGCAGATGTTCGTGCCCAAGTGTGCCGAGCTGATCAGGATAGACGAGGAAAGAAGCGTCGTCACTGTTTGTTTGGACGCGTATGCGACGCTGTTGGAGGAGGTGAAGGGGGATGTGCTGGTGGGGGAGGGACATCGGGAGGCGATCATGAACTGCGTGGTGGATGTGTTGAATTTGAAGGTGAGTGAGAGTAGGGTCCCTTGATGCAAACTGACGTATTTGTCATCTAACAGGGTATGGACAGATCATAGCTCCTTTCTCTTTCAATCATCTAGTGGCTTTGATTTTGTGTATTGGCGTCACTGACATGACGTTGCGGTATCGTCACATTCATAGGCGTTAAAAGAGATCCTACAACATTTTAATTTCATACTTTATCTATATTATAATACGACTTTATTCAATTCTGTTTTGGAAGGATGGTAAAATTTGCTGCGTTAGGCTGTATCAATCAGTTGGATGGCAAATTTGAAATTGTCAGCTTTCCATCAAATGCAAATGAACTCAGAACATGGAAAGGAACGTGACCAAATGGGTAAAATTGGTAAATACATTAGCGATATATTCAAGGTAAAACTAATACGGAACCACATATTATACTTTCTCATTGTGCCTAGGAATATGCCCTACCATTTAAAAAGTGTTCATGAAAAACTGCAAAAATGATTCACAATATGAATATATGTATACAGCACACATGACATATGAGCACATTAGTTTGAATACCAACCTAATTTTTCACCATTTCTCAACAATAAATCAATCAGTTGGATGGCAAATTTGAAATTGTCAGCTTTCCATCAAATGCAAATGAACTCAGAACATGGAATGGAACGTGACCAAATGGGTAAAATTGGTAAATATATTAGCGATATATTCAAGGTAAAACTAATACGGAATCACATATTATACTTTCTCATTGTGCCTAGGAATATGCCCTACCATTTAAAAAGTGTTCATGAAAAACTGCAAAAATGATTCACAATATGAATATATGTATACAGCACACATGACATATGAGCACATTAGTTTGAATACCAACCTAATTTTTCACCATTTCTCAACAATAAGGCTCTAGTCTGAAATCAAAATTCATTTATTGATAGGTACTGCCTAAGAACAGTCCCTTTTGGTAAAACGTATTAAACTTTCAGACAAATTTGCTCACTGCCTCACAAAGATTATGCTAGAGTTGAAAAATCAAAAACTCCAAAATTATCATCATTTGGATATAATAATTATGTAGAGTTGAATGAGAAATTACATGTGAAAATTACGTATGATACGCCAATTTCCTCAATATAAAAAACAAAAAATGTCAACAACAAATGTTAGAATATCGTGAATTTCAATAATTATTTTGAAAATGTATGGAGCCTTGAGGAAAAAACGGTTCACGACAGTGGACGTTAGGGTTAGTACTAGTATACGAAATAATGGAATAACATTTTTCACTGAAATACACCCATTGGAGATCTTGCCATTTTGTGGCAATCATTTGAATAACAACGCGGGAAAACGATAGTTGATTGACAGTAAATAATCCAGAAAATTTGTCTTGAAGCACGCCCTTCACAGGGCTTGCAAAACTTGCTTACAAGTCCAGTCAATATGCACTTTCAATAAAGTGACAAACAACCACTGTATGAAATCATTGCTTCGAATTATCTGTCTATTGCAGACTATGTGTCAAGACACTGATTTAGCGGAAGCCGAAAATAACGAAGAAGATACAGAAGCAGAACAAGATGAGTTGTTATTGGAATCGGCTGGGGATGTCATTCCGAAATTCTCCGCAGCGATACCTCCAGACGATTTTGTTACTTATTTCCCGAATATATTAACTCTGATGTTAGCTAGAACTGTAAGTAAAAAACAAACACCTTTTTTTGTATTTCTCTGATTTCTATTCGAAAAATGACCTGTCAAATAGAACAATCATAACAATCTTCAGATAAATTTTAGTCCCAGATTTTATATATTTTTAACATTGTATTTTATGTTACAGAAAAAACAGAACAGTTTGAGTCAAAGATCGTTCGCTTTTGGAACATTGGCTGAATGTATGAAATCTCTACATGTTTACGTTGAAAAATTCGTGCCGACTCTGTTGACTATGTGGTTGACTGGAGCTAGAGATTCTGCTGATGAAGTTCGAAATAATGCCATTTTCGGTTTGGGTGAAATGATTCTACACGGAAAAGAAAAAGTATTCAGGTAAAAATGTTTTTCCTCTCACATGAGAACATCAATCAAACTAAAATGTATTCCTTCCGAGGAATCAAAATGATATATTTTATTGTTCATTAAGTAGGAAACGAACGTCATCTCCATCTCTCGACCCCCCAGAGGTCGCATATTTCGTGATTTCCTCAAATATTGAAACGAAATTCTAAGTTGTATTTATTTCTTCAATTGTTATCAATTCTACTAATGTGAATACATAGACTTCTTTCTCTCCTTCGGAAGCCTAATTATCCTTGTACTAAATTTTGATTGGTTCTCATTAAATCTGATATATTCCCTTCATTGTATGCTTTCTAATAGGGTGTTGACATGACAACTTCCACTTTTCATTCTGATTGGTTTATAATTCCAAGAGTCCCAACAGTTTGAACTGTCGATCTTGGAACACAAATCAGAATGAAAGGCGTTGTAAGCTGACAAATCCAAAGCTGTCATGTGAACTCAGCCTCAGCTGTCCAAACTCAAGGGTATTATTTCCAAATTTCAGTCATTATCCGGAAATTCTGCAAGCCCTCTCTGCTGCAGTTTCCAAAGAAACTCACAGTGGAACCTTGGACAATATTTGCGGAGCTTTAGCCAAAATGATTCTTGTTAATCCCAACGGAATCCCTCTGGACCAAGTAAGTTAATAACACCTCTCTCTACATTCTCATTCTCTATCTCTAAATGGTTATCCTTCGTAGGTGTTTCCTGCATTTTTGCAAAAACTTCCTTTGAGAGATGACTTTCAAGAAAACGAAGCAGTTATCAACTGCTTTTACAGTTTATATCAACAGGGCAACCCTGTTTTTCGACAACACTTACCGGGTGTAATCAATACAGCTGTGCATGTATTCTATAAGGAACAGACTCCTAATGAAGGTGAGTTCATTCATTTTCTCATTTTCAGAGAAAAATTATACATGAAGGATATTTCTTATATTCCTCTGAACATATGTGATGATGAAAATCGTTATTTTTGATCCGTGGTAATTGTGATGCTGGGAAAACTAATTGCTGCGGGTTAATAACCGCACTGGAACACCTCAAATTGAATGAGGATACTGTCATATTATCGCCATCTAGTGGCTCGAAATCGAAGGATTGTCAGTGGGCCGAAATAGTACTATGGCGGTCTAGCTGACAATGGATAAATATCCTAAGTTGGGATAATTATTTCTCCATGAGTTTTATAAAAAATATTTAAAACGTTTTCTTGGGCGACCAAGAGAACCCCGCACTTTTTGAAGGTTCAGATCATGTCATTGTATAACGTGCCTGACAATCCAGAACATTATATTGAGACGTGTTCTTTTATTCATTGATGAATTATGCACATGAAACATAAATTCTCAAATAGTATTCCAAGTCAACAATCCGAACATCGCTTATACAGCAGATAGTTCTCAAATTCAGCGGATAATTCAATCTAATATTCATCTGATACATCGGATTGAAGGATTGATTTATTGATGAATTTAAAGAGGGGGATAAGTCAAATGGTGAAACCACTGAAAACTGCGAGGTTATTGACTACGCCGGTGATGAAATACGATAAATCTTCTGCGATTATAGGATCAGTGATACAGTGATCCATATGATAATGAGAGTTCATAGTCAATTTGCAACTACAGTTCAAAGATGTGAATTTCACGTGGAAGTTAAGCATGAAATGAAATCAAGAATCAGAACACCAAAGTTTATAAGTAATGCTAGTATCTAATCTTTTTAGTTTTGCTAATCCTCAATGATGCTGAAATAGAGTCATTATTCATTTCTGTACACATCAAATCGTTCCTATATCCAGGTGAAATCTTAATTTTATCGGGGCATCTGTGACGTCAGAAGACATGCATCAGTAATCATCAGATGAAATTCATCATATGAATGAAAGAACACACCTTTGGTATGCATTATACTATTCTCATTCATTCCCTCATTCAGGACATTTTCATTTATGCTTTTGTCTCATAAGTTTATGAAATTATATTTCAATTCTGCCGTGAAAAAGCGCTTAACGACTATGATGATGTTGTCACAATGCAAGGTGTTTGACTCAATAAATCTAAACATTGAAAAACACTAACGGTTGTCCATCCAGTGACTCTAGAATGAAGTAACAAATATTACACACAAAGCACATTGGCTGAAGGATCCATATTGTAAGGTTGATGACGGCTGGTGTGAACACGTACAAACTAAACAAAGTACATTATACAGGGTGACCCATGAATAGCGTGCGATACTTTATTGGTAAATTCCCTCGCCAAAAACTGAGAAATGTAGGGCGAAACGGTGGGAGGTGAAATAATTAATTTGTATGTTATTTCATACTGGGTCAGCTTATAGTGTGCTGTCAGCCCTCACTTCTTTGTCAGAAGTTGGGATAGTAAATTTTCCGTTAAGTTTAAAGAAATGTGTGCAGAAATGCAACCCTCCTTATGTCAATACACGTGTTTGGGTACTTGAACTCAATAGAATTAGTTTGGTAATGGAAGGTGACAAATTCGAATTTGGGACGACTTGGAACCTATGTCCTAGAGGGCGCTGACTTGCTAACAATTGCCAACACACTCATCGACTCAATCTTCTTATTTTGAGACTTCTAGTATTATCTGTGCTCTATAGCGGATGGGTTATAGGATTTCCTGTAAATATAATTTTCAATTGACTTGACTCATACTCAATGGAAATTCATACTGATTGTTCGATATTTCTCTGTGTCTAGATGCAAAGAGAATACTGACTGAATTCATAGTAATGGTGAACAGGGACTTCCCGCAAGAACTGTCGAATTCTGTGTCATCCCTTGAACCAGCAGCTTCTGAATCAATTCGAAAATTATTGACATCATAACATTTTCCTCTATCGAAGATAATTTACTACTGGACAAAGCTTTAAGGTTGTCTGAAGGAGCTCTTTGATTCATTAATTCATTTATTTATTTTCCTTCGGAAATTTGAAGTTATTATTATTGAATGTTATTTTTATATGAATTTGTAAATAAGTTATTGCTTTGAGTTTTAAGATGTAATGTTTTTAAAAATATAATTGCTGAGCATCGTTTTCCAATTTGTTTGACTCGTTTTCCTGATAATAGCACAATTTAGAAATTTTACTCGGGAGAAAGTTGAGAATTCTCTCTATGTACATTTCGATTTCATGATAAATATTTCGAAGATAACCTAACTTTTCTCTCAAAAACTAAATTTTGTCGTGGATGTGAGTTTATCATTATTAGAGTCACTAATACCATCCAGTGACTAATCATTATCTTCTTCCTTATTTAAGTAATATCTGAAGTCTTCATTATTGTAAATATGACAGTAATTTCACTAGAAACAGGAGTGTAATCTTATATTTTTGAAATGTATGAAGGTAAATGCTTATATATACAGGGTGGTCCACTTTGAAACTCTCATAGTCAGATATTAATAGAACACTTCAAAATAAATAAGGTTCACAAAAACATATTTCCTTAGACAACTAGTTATATAGATATAGGGCGTAGAATTTTTCATTAATATGAAGTGTTTATATGATTCCTGAAGTTTGAGAGGTTGCAAATGAATCATCTTGTATATTTCAAATAAGTTTAATTCAACATCAACATACTTTAATTATATTCCTCCTATGTACAAACATTTTTACAAAAAAAAACACAGCATGATTTATATAAACATGGAATGATATGTGTTGATTAGACCGGCCCTCCAAATGAAAGATTCTCAAACATTATGTGTTGATCATTTGTTACCGGCTATAGTGTTTTATAAAATAATATGCGAAAGTCCATGAAATGCATGCAACTGCATTTTCCTGATACATTCGACTGAAGATGGCTGTAACTACAGTCGAAACGTATCACGATACATGGTAAATTACTAAAAAATATACATTTTTGGTATGGAACGTATGGTGAATGACCTATATGGACGACCAATAATTGTAGTCTCGATCAGATTTTACTATACTCACATATTTGAAGCATGACCACTGACCATTTTCTACAGATTTCTCAATTCAATCATTGAATTCCTTAATAATTGTCCTGATTACTTTTGATATTTCGTTTGGTTTGTGAGATTTTCGATAAAATTCAGTGCAATTTTGAATGTTCATTTGGAATCATTGAATTATTGTTTCTTGCACTTTATATTCTTAGGAAATTGGTCATATCAATAATGTTCAGTATTTGGCAATTACTAGTATCTCCACGTATTTGAGTTATAAGCCATGGGGTTATATTTATCGTAAGGAATAACGTTTCAAATAATCATTCAGACAGGGTTACCCTCAATCACAAAAGCTCTGAAGAAATCAATGCCAAATACTGAACATTATTATAATATAATTCAATAATTCCAAATGCCATCAAATACCAATTTTAAATTGCATTATACTTATTTTTTTTTTCAAATTTCTCGAAATTAATCAAGAGGGCCAAAATGTAGGTATATACCTGTTTGAGAAGTACCGTAACTACTACTCGAAATATGTACCACCCTATATGTCGATTTAAATGTGTTGACATGATACTAATGCATACAAATCACCTTAGCATACCTACAAAATCTCGCAATATCCGTCAACACTATTGAAGATTTTCAATGAAGTGAACTTTCTCAATAATGTCCCAAAGTATCAAATTCATAAAGAGAGAATAAATAATATTTCATCAAGATCTATCGATTCTTGGATAATCAATCATTAAAACCTGATCACGTATATGTAATCTTGTTTGAAGGATTTGTGTAGATCATATGACCCCAGACAGAATACTAGTAGGTGAACGGAAGTTGATCTGTTTCCATAAATATCCGTGAAATTTTGCTTCTGAAGTTTCCCATCACAATCTTTATATCATTTGGGCATTGCCATCCTCCGAAACTTTGAAAGTCTACAACTGTATATGTTGACAATGTTTCCCTGTCATTCAAAAGTAAGCTCCTTGATTGAATCCATCGATATTCTACCGTTCAGTTGAAACATAAACTCAGCGTATACCCGGGTGACTGAGAAATTGTAAGTATCGTTTAACCATCGACCACTGGACTAGAATAAGAATCCTAACCTATCTTCATTTTGTAATTACGCGTTTTTAGGTCTGTGCCACCATCGTGTGCAGTAGAGAGATTCGTAATCGTTCAACTGTATCAGTTAGTTGATGCTATATTGTTTTGCAAAGTAATTCACTTCTTACATTTTTGAAACGATGACGACTTTTTAGGTAATCAATGTTTAAAAAATTTTGTTCGGATAGTTTGTGCAAAGCATAAATACATAATACTCTTAGTAAGAGCAACAAAAGGTAATTTCGCTTCTGAAGTTTCCTAACCTGTGCGCTATTTTAAGGTTGATACGTCAATCCAGCTACATACTATAATTTAAGCATTGACATTCTCCCAAGCAATACAGGTAACAGCCAACAGGTCGCTGATGCAAGTGTATATGTTGACAATTTTTCGCTGTCATTCAACAATCAAGTAAGCTCCTCGTTTTAGTTCATTTCATCAATATTCTACCCACAGAACTCATAACTTTTTTATCTTACGACTAGAATGCCTATCCAATATGGCGGACGAACAAATCATGCTCAGCTGCAACACTGTAAGTGAACCATAAACAGTAGCGGCGTTGAAATTCGTGGCGAAATATAAATGAACTCCAGTGGCGTATCTCGAAGATGAGATGAAAGAATTATGTATAATACTAACTTTGGCAACCAAAAGCAAAAATCAGAGTATTAGATACGTATTTTCTGTTTTGTCATGAAGGAACTTGTATCTCAGTTGAAACAAAACCTAGTGATCTGAAATTCGGTGAGCATTTTTCTATCGGCAATATGAACAGTCTTCATGTTCAATAAGTTATGCAGTCTTGAACATATCACTTCATCACAATAACTATGTATAATACATATTGATATTACCAATGATCTTATAATAATATTTTTGACTTTTCGGAAATAAATATTAAATGGCAAGCAGTCACAAGTGGCAGCTAATAAAACTTTGGCAACAACCCGTTGTTAGTAGAGACAAACCGATGAAAATTCATGACCTACGTCTCAGTAGTTTCTCTCCTCTCCTGTATTACCATACAGCCACGTAAGTCTGAGATTAGTATAATTTGACCCCTATTTCAATGCCCATGTTTAGTTCAGAAATTTGGCATGAAACCGTAGGATCGCGCGGTCTAGTCGTAAGATATAAAGATTATCATGAGTTCTGTGATTCTACCGTTCATTAAAAACATAGACTCAGCGTATACCCGCGTGCCTAATAAGACAGTGCAAGTATCGTTTAACCATCGAACACTGGACTAGAACAATCCTAACCTATCCATAATTCCGTACTCAAGCGTTCTTCGGCCTAGTGGCGAACAACTGCTCCACGACCATGGCGTCAGCTAGAGTGCTAATATCTCCCACGTCCCTATCGTTGACAGCTATCTTCCTGAGAATCCTCCTCATGATCTTCCCCGACCTGGTCTTGGGCAAGGCCGGCGCGTTTTGTATGACGTCAGGTTGCGCGAACGGTCCTATCCTCTCTCTGACTATCTGTTTGAGTTCTTTGATCAGCTTGTCGTCGAACACTCCGTGTTCCGTGGTGGTTATGAAGCAGTAGAGGCACTCTCCTTTGACCGGATGCGGCTTGGCTACTACGGCTGCCTCCGCCAGGGATGGATGTTCCGTGAGGATGGATTCCACTTCTGCCGTGGACATCAGGTGGCCTGACACGTTGAGCATGTCGTCTACTCGGCCGGTCACCCATAGGTAGCCGTCTGCGTCACGTTTTGCTCCTGAAACGAAACGAACTCGTTCAACGTTCAGTGCTCTAGCTGTTGTTATGCCCCTCGAAATACTGTCTAAGGAAAATATTGAAATATTGAAAATGGAATTCTTACCCGCTAAGTAAACATCGTTTGTCGGCAAATTTGAGATACTTAATATTTATTTTAATGACTCTAGGTCAACCTCGAAATTGGAATCTCTAAGAATGCGCTAATTGATACCGACAAACGAATATGATGTAAATTTTAAAAAGAAAAACACACATTTCAAAGTCAGTCGACCACCTTTTATATGAAACAGGTAAACCTGACTTCTTGGCCTAAAGACTTTTGATTTTGTAATATTTTTCGATGGTTTTTAATCGGACTATTGTACTGCACAGTCTGATGATGGCCGTTGTGTCGAAACCGGTCACTGTTTTTTAATGTTTCATATAAAGTGTGGTCGACAGACTTTGAAATGTTTTTTTTTCTTTTTAAAATAAACTTAGAGTATAGATGATTTCTACAATTCATGATATAAATTGTTATTGCCATATGAATCTATGAAATCACTTCCATGAGTAAACTGAACCAAAAAACAAGAATGCCGTAAATAGCTTTGTTTTTTTTTTACTATAAAAACACTTCATTGTGAAAAATGGGAAAAATCATTAACTCTCCAGACGTCAACTAGTAAAGATGTAGCTCCAATTGAATCAGAATTGATCGCGAAGTGCATAGAAGTACCTATACCTAATGGCTATTATAATCAGTGCAAGTGAGAAAGAGATAATGGCAATTCTTTCAACTCCCAAGCAAGTTGGTATGTCTTTGTGGTTACATTTAACAGACTGTAGAACTGAAGGTGCTTTTGCCATTCAACATAACTCTTCAACGATAATATAATGGACAGTTTTCAAGAAACTAGTCAGTCAACCTATTTGTGTCAAGGGTTAGGATTATGTCTTATAAATTAGACGTTTAAGGGATTTTTGCAAACACTGATTACTATATATGTATATTTTTGATTGCCTGTTAATAAGTGGTATGAGTTTCTAACTTGATGAGAGGTATCGAAATAAGGGATGATTAGAGAAGTTTCAGCTATTAGTATATGGGCTTAGAGTAGAAGTAGGGTTGAGTTTTGATATAGATAGTTTTACTAGGCGTATTCTTTGAAGAAGTTTATAATGGGTATTTTATTTATGGTTTTAGAGAATATTAACGTTGAGTTGAGAGTTTTTATTGTAGGAAAACCAATGGTAAATTAATTCTGGATCACTATTATTGATTTTATATTGATTATTTCTGATTTGATGAACTCATAGAGTGATTATTTGAGTTTTTTGATATTTTCATAACTTGGATTGGAATTTAATTTTCCTGCACTAACGTTTTGATAAAATGGCTAGTATGATACAAAAGAGGAATTCCATCTCCCTGTACTGAGGTTTTCAATAAAATTATCAGATTTGCTACAAAGTTGCTAAAAACAAAATTTGCCTGCTACTTTTGGAAGGGTACCTCGCTATCTTTTCACCTCACGTGTTGGAAACACTGTTTGTTATCTTTGATGTTGAACTAATGTTCACCTTGAATGTTTATTGAGGAAGGTAATTGATTCGATCAGTAAACAGTTATTATATTATAATTTTCCCTGTTTTCCACATTTTATTGGCATATAATTATGTACTTCTTCATAACAGATCTCATTTTTTCTGGGAGTTATTCGTTTGATGAATAAATAAATTAATTAATTCATGTTGGGATAGGGGATATTTGAATTCTCGCATGTTGATATCGCGCGCATTGCAATGTGAATTCAGGTTACTTATAGAGGTGTGGCAATGTATTTATATACCACATTACTTAATGAAGTAAAAACAAAAACGACCTTATTGGTAGTAATATACATGTTCACGACTTGAGAAGGTGAAAGTATTGGTTTATAACCATCATGGTAACTCACCGTCACCAGTACAATAATATCCCGGAAACTTGGTGAAATAAGTGGTCTCGTATCGATCGTGGTCGTTGTAGAGACTCCTCATCAAACTGGGCCAAGGTCGGGCAAACACGAGGTATCCCTCCCCCTCTCCCTTGACCTCCTTCCCTGCCTCGTCCAGGATCACGGGTTGGACGCCGAAGAAAGGGAACGACTGAAAAGGTGAAAAATTTCGAATATGCAATAGAAATCATCTTTTTGTATCGTATATGGGTCAGTCTTCAAGGCAAATACGTCTCAGAGACCCAGCTCACAAATAAAAATAAAAAAAAATTGATTTATATGACCAATTGTCCCATCTGTGAGACATGGTTAGTGACAACGTTATATATTTGGAACGTTAGTATAGTTGAGGGAAAATATATGTCATACTGAACTGGCCAAATTTGATAATTTTTTTATAGATTTATGCCGAAAAAACTCTCTCTCATGGAGTTGACGATATCGCCCACGGAGTTTGAAAATATTAACAAAAACAGGAAATTTCTTCGAAAACTTGACATAAGTCGATTCTGTTATTAACTAAAAAATAATAACAATCTCATCAGTTTTGTTTTGATCATCTGAATATTTAATATCAGTACCTTCATAAAATAAATGAAGATTCCATGGAGTAATTGACCATCATAAAAATGATTCAGAAAGTTTCAAATGAAAAACGGTAGAGTTGTCTGGAAAAAAATTCATATCCTAAGAATAACATGATAGCACTGCTCAAATTTTACCCTTTTTTCAAGACAAAAAGTTTAAAAAACAAAAATGTGTGGTTTTTGAACATAAAATATAGAAATAATATAATAAATAGAAAATATGAATTCGGTTGAGGTACGTATCTGTTTTAGGACCTATACTATATTTACTTTATGTTCAAAATATCAGTGAAATTGGTCTAGCGTGTGAATATACCATGTATGCAGATGATACAGTACTTTTATATGAAGGCAAGAATCCTTCAGATTTAGAAAATATGATAAATGAAGACTTGAAAATATTTGAAAAATGGCTCAAATCTAACCTTTTATCGATAAATACTAACAAAACAGAATATATGATTTTTCACCAAAAAAATAAACAAAAAATTCACCTCAACCTTAAAATAAAAAATGAACTCTTGAAACAAACTGACCAGATAAAATATCTTGGTATTTGGTTTGATGACAGGTTGAAGTGGGACAAACATATTGATGTTCTGACAAAAAAAATATCTCCAATTATTGGTGCATTGAGAATAAGATGTCCCAAACTTGATATTAAAATTGCAAACATGATTCTCTTCTCTACTCTCATATACTGAGTCGTATCAACTATTTAATAAATGTTTGGGGATCTTGTTCAAAAAATAATGTCAATAAAATATCAACATTATATAGAAAATCGTTAAAAGTATTGTATCGTCTCCCATTTGATACACCAACCAATCAATTGTATGAAATAACAAATACGTATTCTTTAGATGAAATATATAGAATTGAAACTCTCAAAATATCATATAATATCATGAATAAAAAATTGAAGTCGAATATTATTTTGATACGGAATTCTGAAATTCATAATCATGAAACTATAGACAATATAACTTGTTTCATCTTGACGCCGCTAGCTCCCTAATCGGACAAAAAAGATTCACTCAGTCAGCCTTAACTGAATTCAATAAACTACCTGATAATATAAAAAATTGCAGAAATATAGGTATATTCAAAAATGAAGTAAAAAAACTGATTATTTCTCAGCGGACTGGATAAAATTAATCATGCCATTTTTTTTACAAATATTATTCTTTGTTTGCCAATTTACAGTTGTTGAAATATTTTGAATGATGCTATGTTTACCTATAGGTATATAATTATGTACTTCCTTATACCAGAGCCTATTCTGTAATAAATAAATAAATATCTCAATTTCGAATTTCATGCTACAATGTCTCTCAATGTAAACCCTTTACAGATTGTTCATTAAATTGACAAAGCCCATGACCATGGGCGAAACGTTTTCTACTATCTATCCCTTGTGATTACTTACAATACGTACATTAATACTTGAATCCAAACCCCAAGATGAAGCCGTTATTCAAGAATAAATAATAAACCATATATAAATATGCTTCGTGGATTATTTATGATAACCCTCAAAGAAATGTGAAAAAGTTTGATTAACATCATATAGTTTAATTATTCCTTTGAAAAAAAAACCCTCATATCTGGATAATACAGAATACAGATGAACTGATGTATACCCCAAGGTCTTATATTGAGCAGTAGTTGAAAGTACCTGAGATAAAAGTGATATGATATCAAGTATCTTAAGTTATTTAGTTACTTACCGCAGCTCCAGGTTTCATAGGGGTAGCGCCTGGTAAGGGCGTTAAGACATGACCGCCAGTTTCTGTTTGCCAAAAAGTGTCCACTATCGAACATCTTTCATGGCCCACCAATTTGTAATACCACATCCAAGCTTCTGGATTAATTGGTTCGCCTACGGATCCGAGGACTCTCAAAGATGACAAATCATGCCTGAAAATGATTAAGCAAATTGATTATTGATTGCTATATTCGTCTTGCACTTGGAGATAATGATAATGTATCAATGAAAATATCAGCCAAAATATTCAGAGGGTAAAAATGATGTAGGTAATTGAAAAATTTTTGGGGATATAATGGTGAAAATTACTGAGAAATAGTTATTTATGTACCAAGGACGAAACTCTCTAAATTATAGTCGAGTCTGAAATTGAAGCAATTAGACGAGACAATAGGCAGTTTTTCACCGAGGTGCATATATTAAATTTTTTTCGTCGACTCACTTACTTATTATATCACGGTCCAATGGGCTTATATCACAAAAACATTTTATTCCATAATTCGATAGAACTCACCCAAACTAGCCCACCACCGCAAACCGTTTTATAAAAAATTATTGAAATCCCCGATTTTTAGGACCTCTGAAAACGAGGCGATGATGTGACGTCAAAACCCTAATACTGAAACAGGACTATTCCAGACAGAGATGAATGATACATGATTTCTGGCAAAGTGAATTAGCGCGAGATCACAGTTGAAAGAATTAATATATCAGTTGCCTCAGTCTCCGTCCGGCGTTTGGTATTTTCTTTTAACTATAGCGAGATGAGGTTTCTACGTCATGAGAGGGTCCGTTTTCACATGGTACTATTATTTATGTCAAAAAATTGAACATTCCAGTAAATTTTTCGATCGAATTATGCCGTCAATCATTATTTATGTATGAATAAAGGATCATTATAAACATGGTTTGAGTTAAAAGTTCTACCAAGGTGTACACGCCCATTCACACGTGAAATCTATCGGATTTCGTGAATAATCAATTTGACAACAGCAACAAATGACAGTAGTTGTCAATTCACTCTCCGCGCGGACCAGGGTTGCCAGTTCGATTTTTATTCCATCAGAGGGAATACCTTGTCGAAATTTCAGTAGATTTCAATAGATCTGTTCAAGATCAATTTTTTTTATCGCTTGGAGCGCACGAAAGGAAATCCCTATAATGTTCAAAGAACATCGTGCGTTCCTAGGAAGGATAGGGACTGGAGGTATAGGTATTGGAATTTGTTTTGAACTTCTGGAGATTATATGTTGTTGGGAATACTTCCTCAGGCAATGAATTCCAGAGCCTAGCCGTTCTATGGATGAAGGAGTTTTGATAAATTGCTGTTCGACATCTTTCGAGGTTGACAACGAAAGGATGTGCTGACTGGGCTTGTCTAGTTCGTCTGACTGGTATTGCTAGTGAAGGGATGATTTTGCAGAGATTTCCGAAGAACATTTCCCGTGGAGGTATCGATAGAAAATTGAAAGGTCGCCGACCTTTCTACGGTGTTCCAATGATGTCAAAGAGTGAGTGGGTGTGGCGTCTCCCACCAGGCGAATGGCTCTTCTCTAGATGGAATCTAAGAGCATCAGCGTATGTTTGGGTGCTGAACCCCATATGTGGAAACAGTATTCTAAAACAGGCCGTATCTGCGCTTTGTAGATCATGAGAAGCTGTTGAGGTGTAAAGTAGCTTTTCGCACGGAACAAGAATCCGAGTTTTTGTGAAGCAGCTTTTGCGATGGATCTGATATGATTGTCCCATGAAAGACTGTTGCTGATGGAAATACCGAGCTTAGATATCGTGGGCTTGGTAGGGATGGTGGTGCCAGACATTAACAATATCGGGCATACTGAGTTCCGCCTTTCTAGAGAAAATACAGGCTTGAGTTTTGGTGGCGTTGAATTCAACTAGGTTGTTGGTTCCTTAGAGGCTATGATTTCAGCAAGGTCTCCATTGACAGCATCATTGACCTGCCTCTGCGCCGGGAGTTCTTAGTTTCCTGGGAAGAAATGGGAATTCTGGAAGAGAACGCAGTATGGAGGGTACTCTCATCATCTACAAAGCTGTGGATGGAGCAAGTTGTTACTCCCAACAGATCATTGATATGAAGAAGGAATAATGTTGGTGCCAAAATTGATCCTTATAAATATTATGTACTTTCAGTAAACAGAAAAGTAACCTATTTCCAACATATTAGAAACAAACAAAACAAATTTTGTTATTTGTGTTATAACAGCAGAGGTAGAGGTACATAAAAAATTGAATTTGATCTGAATCGGATAAAGAATTGATCTTGTTTGGCTCATACATATCATTGTAGCACCTATTTATGTACATAAGTACATGTATTACTTATTTTGTAAAATTAATTCAAACATGGAGCATAATATAGTTGATTATAATGATAAATAAATGTTTTTCAGTAGATTATGAAATGTTTCAGTAGATCAATATGCAAATCAGGAGATCTGTTTGAAATTCGAGTAGAACTGGCAATCGTGCAGCGGACGAAAATTTAGTGTCTGTGGACGAATAGTACTTGCCTTCGAAAATAGACGGTTTTTCGTTCGAAAATTAGAACGTAAAAGGTGATTTTTTGTGAAGGTCGACGAAAAACAAATTTATTAATTAGAAGAATCAATTACTAATTCATTAATTATCATGTGAGGAATTGAAAACATGATTCTCAAATGGAACAGACTTGTAATTGAACAATTTCCTCCAGACATTACATATGCGTGTCGTATATGTAATAACAAACAACAACCGTACAATTTTACGTCAATTATTTTCGTTCTTCCATAAAGAAAATAAGAGTTGAATATAATAAAAAACGCTCATTCAGTTGACCAGATAGTGATATCACATCAAAATAATATCATAATTGATGCTTGTCGAATGGCAGAAACAAATGTGGAAACATCAATCAATCAATCAATCAACTTTATTATTCCCAAGAAATATGCTTTACCCAACTAGCATTTTCAGTCACAGGCACCATGGTTCAAGAAACTATTACCTATATTTAGTGATAATAACGTATTTATCACTTATTTCAGAACTTCATAGTATAAATGTCAGTGATAGTTATTTAGTGAGTGAAAATTACGTAGTTTTTACACTAGATAATAACTTCAAAGTGAGAAATTCTCATGGCTTATTACGAAGTAACTATTTCGAAACTGTCACTCCTCAAAACTACTCTTAAGGTTTCGGAACTTTGGATATATTATTACGGTAACGCTTACCACCCCAAGAAGGCTTCACAGTTGCAATTACTCTATGGTCACCAATTAGGTTTCTACGACGTTGTCGTTACTTGATCGATCACCTAATAATTTAGTCAATTCTTGGTGATATATTTCAAGTAACATATTGGTAATTCCTACTCAAACAATTCCTTCATAGTTGAAACAACTTTTCGGTAATTATATTCAGTTGAAGTTACCAATACATAGGTTATCATAACTGACGAGTTCCAAAAGTAACTTTCTGATTCATTTTCGATTGGAAGCCATATTGATTGATGTGATAACCATTTGAACAGGAAATAATTTTGGTTTTTCTTGTTGATAAACATCATTTTATGAAGAATAATAGCATTCGTTCGATCACAAATTGCATAATAATGGAAATTAACATGATTTACGATGATTTTTGAAAAATAGCCGAATGAAATAAAACCATATTTTTGGTGAAATGAGCCGTATTTTGTGGGCGCATCTTGAATTTCGAGGCAAAATCATCACATTTATCGAAAAACTGAATGTTGTTCGAATTTTTCAAGTTCGAGTATCAATTATTTCGCGTGTTTGTCCTTGTATTATTTATTGAATGGTTAGGCATATTGGACTTGTTCATTTTTCGTGAATGTGAACTTCATGGATGAAATGAAGAATAATAAAGAGAGAAAATAATATTTTTATGAAGTGGAAAAGAAATAGAAAGTCAGGTAGGAAAATTTACTACATCTTTACGTAATTTCGACGTCGACGGGTCGTAAGCATTTCGTAATTGTGTGAGTTCCCGCTACGTCGGCAAACCGTAATAATTACTCGTGATTTGTTCCCCATTTTGGTCGTAAATACGTAGTAACGACGTAATTATAACGTAACCGCAACTAGTAAATATTACTTAATAGTCGACCCAATAGTCGTAATTACGTAATCGCGACTATAAATGCTAGTTGGGTAGTTTGCCAAAAATATCCAAAATATACGATTTTCCCTTAGTATCCAACCAATGAGAAATGTCATCACGAAAATTGATGAAAAATGAAAAAAATGAGTACGCCACTATAGTGACTGTGCCGTCAACAAGAAATAGTATAGTGTTTAAGGAGCACGGAATGATAGTGATTTCCTACTAGAATGAAAGTTTGCAGTTTGAGCCGTAGGCGAATGCTGCAATCATTCGAGTGGCAAATTAGCATTCCGTGCGAGTTATACACTATAATTTTTCTACGGCTGTAACAAATAACAGCGAGATTTTTCATTTCTTTGTCTGATTTAATCTCAAGTAATGTTTGATCATCTATTAGACAGAGCTGACATTGCTTCAAATTTGACATTTGATGAAATTTTTCTGAAATTATAACACAATATGGAGTCATTGTGATATCAGATACGGAAATAAAATGGATGACAAAGTACCTCATTGATGTATAGAACACCGTAAAACAAGAGCAATTTCGTGTTGATAGCCATAGAAAAACATATTATGACGTCACTATTAATATTTGTCAAAAAAAAAAGAATACCCTATAACTTCTCGCTAAATATTTCCATTTTTAATGAACCTCGGAATATGTTTGAATGTGACATAGAGCTAATAAGTAACTAAATCAAATAGTTCCTGAAATATTAATTGACGTTTAAAATTTCATAATTTTCATTGTACTCTTCATGTACAACAACAAAAATTTCATCTAATAGGTATGTTATATTCCTATATACAGAGGGAGTTTCATCAGTAAATTGAGAATAATTCAACTATTAGATCCTGTACTGAAAATATGAAGATCCAACCTAGACACAATGTGTCTCCACAAGGTCGTGCCGAGAGGGGAGAGGCCCGAAGGGATCTGGACCCCCCCACCTCGAAATAACGGCCTAAATCCGTCTTTTTTCCTCAATTTCGATATTTTGCTCTTAGATTTTGTAGGTACACTCTGAGGTGATTGGTATGCAATAACAATAGCATTTCAAAAGATGCCAACCAATATACATCAGGGTTGAACACATTTGTACCTCATTATAGCAAATTTTTTCAGGAGGTACGCCACTGATGAAATTTGGTTACATTTTTCAATTTTACCATTCGATACCTGCATTATGGCTCACTGTACCACATTGCTTCGGTTTGAAAGATATTTGCTAAAATTCGATTTCATGTAGGTAAATAATTTGAAATTATTGAATTCTTGTTGGTTTCTCTATTTCGTTTTCTTACAGAATCGATCATTATTATCATCATCAATCAATAATGTTCAGTTTCTGGTACATATTTCGTGGGACAATATAATAAATGAATGATTTATTATTTATTATCTTCGAAAATCATTTTGTTATATTTTTTTGTTGATATGGAATCAAAGTTTCATTCGCGTAATGCATTCAATCCAATAATGATCCAAGACATCGACATGATCAATACACATATGAAAATCAAAATAATTGTGCAGCTTCTCATGTTCAACTTATTGACATCGAAATTGAACTGAAAAATGATTACTTTATCGCTATGAAAATATAGTACGATATTCACGACGGAAGTATTGTAAAATCGAAAAATTGGGTTGAAATGGCTATTCCGTCAGTACCGTAGAATTTTGGTAGGTTCAACCAGTCACTTATTTCCTCTGTCGTACGCCTCTGGTGGTAGCCAGAAACGACATTTTACATAATTTATCAGGTTGCCAAATATCACAACGATACATCAATTAGTTCTAATAAAATAGTAAAATAATTTTTGAATTTTCTTGGACAAGAGACACATTTTGTCTAGGTGATTTTGGTCAAATCTTCATATTTTAAGCTCAGAATTCCAGGGTTGACTGGTACTGGTACTGGTGGGGGACGTTTCCACGTCAGCAACTAGTCCCCAATGGGACCTTTTTGCCAACCCCAAGTGTTTTCAATGACTGATGTGGTTCGCTCAAGAGAGCTGGCTAACATCCTTTTCAGGCACCGCCCATCAGCTCTCTTTTCAGAGTTTTTCAGCTGTGTTTTGTAGGCTAGTAATGTACTCACTACCATATGCGCAGTGGCAGGCCTGCTAACTATCATCGTTAACCCCCGAGACCGAGGTCTACTTAAGCAGCTGGCCCGCTCTCACGCTCAGCTGGTAGTTTTCCACACCCACCTACATACACCGTCCTACTTCTTCTCTGATGCTCACAACCACATCATCATATCTTTCTGCGTGTTCTGTGTAGGCTTTGTTACTAACTCTATGCGCCACTTTAGGAGCAGCACTGTTAATTGGAACGCAACAGCGAATCGTGCAGGACTATCCCCAGCCGATGCTCCGAAACTTCACAATATTTAATTCGTAAATAAAATATTGAAAAAAGTTCCTTGCCCGTATTCCAGGGTTGAAATAATGAAACTCCCTGTATACTCTGCCCTGATATGATCATAGATGATTCATGATATGGAACAATAAAATACATGTCGAAGGGGTAATAAATCAATTGAATGAATAATCAATTTGTATATAGCTTACCTGGTGACCAAATCATCCTCAAATTTCATCAATGCTCTTATTGCAGTAGGTGCAGTATAAAATTGGTTCACTTTGTACTTATCCACCACAACCCAAAATCTGTCGTTGTCTGGATAAAACGGCGTTCCTTCGTACTGTAAAAAAAAACGGCATTCAAAAATAATTATTCGCCAATTGTTATCTTGTCACGAAATAATTGGATCTGGCGTTGGCTAAACATTCCTATAATGTTTCACAAAAGTTTCAGAGAACCATATCATAATCAAACTCAGATCCAGATTATGGAAATAGGTCCAGCGATCACCTGTAAATATTTATACATCCGTCGTTGGAACAAAAACTTTGACATTTTTTTATGATTCGCAACGCACTGATTAGTGCACTACAAAGGGCAAATGTTGTGACTTTGACAAAATATTTGCATGGCGGAATGGAATTAATGGAATTAATATCATAGGAAGAGAAGATAACAACAACAAAAAACAATCATGCAAAGAATCTGCTGGGATATTCTTTTCTGTTCAGTTGATATAAATATAGAACAAGATATATATTATTCACTTTGAAATGGAAAAATGGTAACTCGTATATCTTTCAGACAACTTTTTTGTCACTCGCAGAAGGTTAAAAAACGAACAGAAGAGATACACATTTCGAGAATAATTTCACATTTTCATGTTGAAAACGGGAGCAGATTCATTCCCGAAATGTTCAAAGATAAGTGACATCATTTAATTTTTTATTAGATCTATATATTCCATTCTTCTCTAAACAGTTTTCAAACAATGTGTCACTGACTATATATGCCGAAAATTTTTCCTCAGGTTCCTATTAATGACATTTTGAGGCAGTGACATTTTAGGTTGAATTATCTTATTCTGTCCTTACTACAGAGGTATTGTGAAATATCACAAATATTTTCCCGAAGATCTAGATAAATTAATGAAATGAAAAGGAATATTCCCACATATATATTATGAACATGAAAACAACTACTACTTTCCTGGCTATATGCCACGACGAACATTGATTTACATTTTTGTCGAACACTCAAAAGATGAGGATACGAAAAAAAAAATTGAGAAGTGACCGAGGAAATGACATTTTTTTTCGAAGCGGATAAATAATTTGATTATGGTTATTTTGTACTCGAACTCTCCTAACGTCTGTCAAATCTATTTGTTCTGAGAGAATTTGAAACAGTTGTCCATAAAATATCAAGCAAATCGAGAACCAAATAGTCCGTCTAATGTAAGTAAGTATTTTTGTGGATTTTTTCAACCAATGGAGAATAAAATGCATAATATTTTCAATATCGAACTTCATTTTTCCGATAAACCAGGCTATTATTTCTGATCTAGTAACCTCTCTATACTATTCCGATAAATTCCTGCATAAGTAATCGATTCTATCGACGTATTCATTGATGTAATACAGTATTTGCATTGAAAAGAACCATGATTTGTGTTTAAGTTTGTTATCCCCTTTGTGGACATTGACATGGAATTTTGCACGATCATTATATGCACTGAAATTTGTTCATCATTTCAATCTTTATGGAACTATAGTACGAAGTCCAAAACGTTTATATTTAGCAGAATACCTACTGTCTGCCAAAATCTGGGTCAAAATTGATGATATTCATGGAATTGTATTCGTTTTGATATTTCCCTAAAACTCTCCCTATGATATTTCCACAGGAAATAGTAGGTATATATTGTTTAATGAGCACGGAATGTTAGTCATCTGAAAATCATACGAGTGGGAAATTAGCATTCCGTCTGCGAGTTATACACCATACTTTTTCTACGGCTCTAACAGAGATATAACAGCGAATTTGTTTATTTCAATCAGACAGATGAGATTTATTTGTGGAATTGTAACACAATAAAGTCATTGTGATTTCAGATACGGAAACGAAATTACATATAAGCTGATTGATTTATCGAACACAGTAAAATAAGAGCAATTTCGTGTTGAGTCGTAAAAAAAATGCCTTCTCTGTAAATAATATTTTGTTTTCACGCAACTTCTTATTATTGTAAATTAATTGATGTAACGAAAAAATTCATTCGAATCAAAAGACATTCGTAAATTTCATGAAAGAGGTTATAATTTAGCTTTATATACAGGGTGATCCACGGTGGATGGCATATTAAAGGTATCTGGAGAACGAAAAGACAGAACATTCTGAAAATTGAGATGCTTTGATAAGTGAACATTCTGTATCCGTCGGAAATATTTTCATCGATACAGTGTTGCCACTTCTATCAAAAACAACCCAGCAAACATGATTTTTGCGGCCCTCTAAAGGTACAATGAAACTTGCCGGCGAGCGGTAACAGCGGTCCTCTATTGTACAACTAAATTGGGCCGGCTAGCCCGTGTCCCGGCGGCCGACAGCCGACCGCCCCTCTAGAGCCATCAGTATGCCGCTTATTACAGTGCAGGGCTTCTGATGGGCAGAAGCAAGTACTCAAATGTACTCATTCATGGCATATCTTCGGCCCGATTGAGACTTATCAGAGACTGCCATTAATTGGCCGCTTGAGTATTTTTATTCCCCCGATAGAGGAGTTTTTCAGGGCCGTTGGTTAACGGGGTTGAATGAATTCAATATTCATGGTATTCTGTTTTTTGATGTCCCATTTTTCAACTAGGTTTGTCAAAAAATATACAGGGTAATGCATATATCTCAGTGAAAATAGGTTTTTTGATAGGTATCTCAGTTTATATCACCACTTGGAAAGCAAGGTATCTCATTTTCACTCAGATTTGCATCACTCTCTCTATTTTCAAACTGGTTAAAAAATGTGGAACTTCAAAAAACAGAATTGAGGTTTCCGAGTTTTTTGTGAATCCTCTGGTATAACAGAAATGTGGAATTCACTTCTTACCTGAAGTTGTTGAATTATTACATAAAAATCTCTGACATGGCATCCTGATATCACAGGTACTTCCAGGAAACTAGCAGTATAAACACCCCATACAAAAACAATAACTGAAAATATCCATGTGTGTATATTATTTCCATGATCACAACCAATACATATCACAACTATGGAAACATCAAACATCTTAATTCTAGTTCTATGTATCACTCTGTATACTCATTATGAAAAGGTACCTACAATTTCCAATAATAGGTATTTGTGTTTCATCATGCAGGATAGATATTTGTTTTTCCACTTGTTTCCAAAAGTTGCTAGCTCTAGGTCAAAAATTACATCACCTATGTACCTACTGAATAACTTGAAAGTTATGTAGGTAATCAATTGCCTATTATATTGATCAAGTTATTGCCAACAATAGAGTTCAATTCACAAGAAAACAATTCCCAGATATGGAGAACCTCACTCTTTATCATATTGATATAAGTGTTGCCTGAAGGTGAGATATTATATCGCATAGTCTGGATCATCCTGTGATTTCTTCATTAATATCTGTGATTGATGGGCTTCTGGTTGTTAATTTTGTAGCTGAAAGATTGAATAATTTCATTCTCTACTAATCCAGAACATGCAACCTTATATACCTACCTACATACCTACAGTAATTCTTGAAATATAACTGTTTCTTCAAGTAGGTCCTCTGTGATTTTCGTTTCAAAAACAGATTCATGATTCATATGTAATAAAAGCTCATGCATCTTCTAAGTCCTCATATATTATTATATTCTTGTGTATCCGCTGAACATGTCCAAACTATTATTGCATCTGTTTGTCTAACGGTGTTTGTAAAATTCTTATCTAAAATAGGAGAATTATGTAGCTGTGCAAGTTTGTATATATGTTTGTTCCTCACTCACTCTGTATTTATGTCAATTCCCTTCCATTTTGTATAAAAATCCACTAGAGAAACAAACACGAACTGAACACAGTACTAAAATCTCTGTTGAGACACAGAGAGCATTGAAACAACATAAACAAAGAAATTAATATACGCCATACTGAATCACTGTTGCCACTGTAAAATGATCAGAATAAAAACTAACGCGAGCGAGGGATGCCAACGTTGAGTGAGTGATGATGGCACACTCCGTTGAAATTTTGATGGCCCTTGGACTTGGATACATACAGCGAAAGACTATCGGGTGGGGAACAGAGGCCTATCATAAGAATGTGTACATTCTGCCTCCGTCACAGAATCCTTTGAAATTATATGGAGGGCCTTTCGAGGCATGCCGACATCGACATTTGCCCGCCGTTCTCGCCATGGGCCCGGCTTTCTACCGCCTTTCGATGTTTGCTGGGAAGTAGCAACTTCGTTATTTTACATTGAGCACCCTGTATTTTATTGCATTTCGAAATTCTTCTTGAAGAGCTTATTTCATCAACGTATCACACTTGGGGTCTAGCAGCAATAATAACAGAGATAAATAGGGTGTGCAAAATCGAGATTTTTGAATTTCAGGATTTGTTTGTGTCGAAACTATTTATTATCGATCGAAACGGCTTACCCCTATCTCATCTTCTGTTTCACTATCTCCTGGAATTTAATTCGAAAAAATACAGGGTGCTTCAAGATTCAGAATTCTGATCACCCTGTATCTGTTCCAATCAAATGTCAGTAGATAGTGAATGAAAAGTTAGGATAGGGACATGTAAGCCGTTTCGATCGATAATGAATAGTTTCGACACAAAAAAATCCTGAAATTGGAAAATCTCGATCTTGAACACCCGATATCTCTGTAATAATTCCTGCTATACCCCAAGTGTGATACATTGATGAAATCAGCTCTTCAGGAAGATCTGAAAAATGCAATAAAATACAGGGTGCTTTATTCAAAATAACGAAGTTGCTAGTTGTTTCTGATAGAAGTGGCAACACTGTATCGATGAAAATATTTCAGACGGATAGAGAATGTTCAATTATCAAAGCATCCCAATTTTCAGAATGTTCTGTCATTTCGTTCTCTAGATACTTCTAATAGGCCATCCACCGTGGATCACCCTGTATTCATGTAATTGAGACTATATGAAGTTATTCATTGATATACCCGTACATAGAAAAATGTTTATTTACATAATGATTGAATAATGATCTTACTTCAAACAATCATGTTGTTCACTTCTTATGTAAGTAGGTATGTCTATAGACATATATATAGGTACTTATTTCTTAGCTATATATATATCTTTCATTGTTGAACTTGATTTTAGGGCTGAAAATCGACTTCTCATTTCCGAAAAATGGCAAGTAGGGAATACCTTCAACGTTCCTTCCGAGGTTTCTTCTTTCTTATTCATATGATAAGTAGGTATAAGTAGGTATTTTGTAGTCATGAAAAACAAATTTAACCATATTTGACAACCAAAAAAAGATAATTATAGTCAGTGTACCTGCCTTTTATTAACATTTGGAGATTAATATCATTCATGTAAGGTGACAAAGTAAGTAGGTAAAACAATTTCAATAGCTTGAATTCATAAAAACAAGCATGACGTAGGTATGGGTAGGTACTTGAATTGTAAGAGACGACACAAATCATGATAGTTCAAGTTCATGAAACTAATATATAATCATAAAGCGTTGACCTGCTGCGCCTGCTTTTTTCCTTCCAAAAAAAATCAATCGTTTATCATTAAACAATAATATGAACATTGAACAGATTTTTGTCTTTGTCAGGGTTTCAAAATACTAAACTAATATGTGCCCAAGATTTTTTTATAAAACCTGCTTCTCGTGCGATATCGAAAATATCGAATTGGTTCCAGCCTTGTCCATATACTGAATGTCCTCAAACGAAGTGGTGAATGGACATCCTCTGGATGTCCATTCAGTGTCCATGTCCATATGGATCAAGCATATGGATAATATTTGGATATCCATAGAATATCCTGTGTTATTACTGGGTGTAGGTATACGAAACGTATTCCAGTCACCAATACAGGAGTATAGCACCATTGGCTAGATGTTTTGCACAAGTGGCGAATGGACATCCATTGGATGTCGATTCAGTGTCCATGTCCATATTGACCAAGCATGGACATCATATGGATATCCATGGAATATCCTATGTTATTACTGGGTAGGTATACAAAACGTATTTCACTCACCAATACAGAAGTAGCACCATTGGCTAGAGGTATTGTACAAGTGGTGAATAGACATTCATTGGATGTCCATTCAGTGTCCATGTTGATCAAGCATGGACATTATATGGATATCCATAGACTATCCTGTGCTATTACTGGGTAGGTATACGAAACGTATTCCAGTCACCAATACAGAAGTATCACCATTGGCTAGATGTATTGAACAAGTGGTGAATGGACATCCATTGGATGTCCATTTAGTGTCCATGTCCATGTTGATCAAGCATGGACATCATATGGATATCCATAGGATATCTTATGTTGTTAATGGGTAGGATATACAAAACGTATTTCACTCACCAATACAGAAGTAGCGCCATTGGCTAGAGGTATTGTACAAGTGGTATATAGCCATCCATTGGATGTCCATTCAGTGTCCATGTCTATATGGACCAAGCATGGACATAATATGGATATCTAAAGGATATCCTGAGTTATTACTGGGTAGGTATACGAAACGTATTTCACTCACCAATACAGAAGTAGCACCATTGGCTAGAGGTATTGTACAAGTGGTATATAGCCATCCATTGGATGTCCATTCAGTGTCCATGTCTATATGGACCAAGCATGGACATCATATGGATATCCATAGGATTTCCTGTGTTATTACTGGGTAGGTATACAGAACGTATTTTACTCACCAATACAGAAGTAGCACCATTGGCTAGAGGTCCGTACACAACATAAGTGTGTCCGGTGATCCAACCTATATCGGCAGTACACCAGTACACGTCACTAGGTCTGTAATCGAACACATATTTGAAGGTAGTCGCCGCGTATATCATGTAGCCTCCTGTGGTGTGGAGGACCCCCTTCGGCTTTCCCGTGGATCCACTGGTGTACAGCATGAAGAGGGGGTCTTCTGCTTCCATCCATTCTGGGTAGCAGCTGGTGGAAGCCTGAGGAACGACGTCTTGCCAGTAGATGTCTCTGCCGTCTGTCATTGGGGTCTGGAACGGAGAAAGAGGTGAGATGTAGTTTCAGCTCGGAATCGGTAGTATTAGGGGTTATTTTGTGGCAGCAAAAACAGGTGAAGTTCATCCAAAAACTGAGAACGCCCGGTCAAGACGTTTCGTACGTATTGGGGACGTCCAAATTAGGACCGTAGACGTACTAGGTACGTACTGGGAACGTCCAGATTCCGCGCATTAGCACATCCCCAGTACGTCCATTCAGGACCATGAATACCTGAATCAACGTAAATTCGACTTGTTTTACTCAGACAGTTGAAAAAAAATCTGACAGAGTAGAAAAGCGCTCCTACTGGGGATCCATACGAGGACCGAACCGATTACCGGCAGATGCTCTAATACCTATTACTCTACAGAACACTTATTAGTATATCAGTATACAACAATAGATTATGTGCTAATGTCGATTGAATTGTGAGAATTGTATTATGTTAATGTTTGCAATTTTCCCACATGGATAGATGTCAGAGACCGTGGGTAAAAATTATATAAAATGATTTCAATCATCATCATACAATTCATTAAATCCAGTCCACAAAAAGTCGAAAAAGTCCTGAGTTGGACGTACTAAGTACATCCGAAACATACGTATCCAGTACGTCTAGAAATGGACGTTTTCGGTACGTCTTGAAAAGGTCTCGGACGTTCAGATCTAAATCGGACCTATAATAGACGTGTCCAGAACGTCGAGTGTTATAATAATATGGGGGTGTAGGTTTGATTCACAGTGAACATTATCAGTCTTTCTTTCAAGTCTACTGTTTTCAACCGTTTGTCAATTGTCATTCGTAGGTTAAGCCTCTCAGGTGTCAGATGGGTTTTGTCAATAGGTTTCATTCCTTCTGCTCTAGCTGAGATAGATCCTCTGCTGATGAGACCTTCTTCAACATCTCAGGTATTGGTCGTTCGATTCTACCAAATTTGGACCCGTATGAATCCATCAATGTGATCAGTTTTTCAGAAACTTCCCCTTGGACAGTGCCGTGCATTTTTATTGAATTAAAAAAGGGTATATTTTTCATGATATCATATGAGGAATTTTTTCACAGGAAAATACTGACCTCATATTCTTGATCTCCATGGTTACAAACCCCTATATGTAAATTTCCATATGATTCCTATAAAGGGTTTCAGAAAAACAGTCACATATTAACGGCATTTTTATAAACGTATAATAAATATATTTACTGGTCGGAAACATGAAATAGTGTATCTTGTTTTTTCTTTCAAATCATGATTTTCTACCTACCGGGTATAGCTATTGAACGTTCTAAAATTTGCAATTATAGTTTGAATTAACTATTTTTTCGTGGCTGAAAACGAAAACAATTAATAAATTCTGTTAAATCGGAATGAGGTGATTTTTTGTTCACATATGGAGGTTCAAGAACATGGGGAACAGTGATATGAAGTTAGTTTTCTTGCAACACATATGATTTCATGAAAATAGACCCTTATTAATTTCAATAAAAAGGCACGGTTCTGTCCAAAACGGTAAGATATAGAGGGGGGGGGGGGCAGCGTTTAACGGGAAACACGTTGGATACTAATTTTCCGCTGTTTCACCGTGAAACAGGTCTTAGTCCAAGTGACACAAAGATGAAATCTGAAGAAGCTACCTCTTAAATTATTGCCAACTATCGAAAATCAGTACATTTTTTGCCGTGAATTTATAGCCTTCCAGGCAAAATCTTCTTCTGGTGAAGTGAATTCCAGACATTTCACTTGGAATACCCACCTTATTGCTTTTGTATGGTGTCCCGGATGGTGACGTCACTCTTGCCAAATGAGACACTACGACGCACGTCTCGACGTTGTGTCCTTTTTGCGCACACTTCGACATGGCCTGGTCGCAGATAGCTTTCAGCTGCAGCAGCTTCTCTCCTCTCCAAGCCCCGTCAGAAGTTACCAAAACCTTTGCTCGGCAGTCGAGGATTCTCTCCGAGAAAGAATCTGCTGAGAATCCGGCGAACTGAAATTGAAGACATTGAAGACGGTCAGCAAACTTATAGTGACGTATCTCAGTTTTGTTATCTTTACAGAAGGGCAATTGAAAGATTTTCAACATCTTAATTAGCTTATAACTGAACCACGCAACACTAATTTCGTCGCATCCTAAAATTTTTCCTCTGATGAAATATGAATAAATTTTTTCTGCTTTGAACGATTTGAATTCGGATCACACTGTTTGCTAGCTCACATATAAAATCGCTACAGGGTGTTACCTGATCGAAACTGTGCAAATTTCGAAAATTTCAAAAGTCTCCCAAATGGAGAAAAACTTTTTTTTTTACTTCGACAGTAGAGGCATGTAGATGATCTGATTTTCTCGGGACAGTTCCCAAATTGTCTCCTTATCTCTTTTATTTACAGAGTGATCTCAAAAAATTTACTTTTTGGTTTTGTAGTCATAACTTTGTTTCCTCGTCAACCGATTTTCAAAATCTGAGGCCATTTTGAAGCTTTAACTTCAGATGGAGAGATATGAAGAGCAGAATTGACACTCAAGATGAAAATTATATAGTGTGTCTGCAAGCAACACTAATTTCATCAGAGGAAAAAATATGAATAACTTTTTTCTGCTTTATTGAACGATTGGAATTCGGATCACACTGTTCGCTAGCCCAGTCCTTCAACTATAATCTCGTAATTCTTCAAAACATATTGGTCCTCACATAAAATCGCTACAGGGTGTTACATGAAACTGTGAAAATTTCGGAAATTTTGAAAAGTATCCCAAATGAAGAAACTCTTTTTTTTTTACTTTAACAGTAGAGGCATGTAGATGATCTGATTTTCTCGGGACAGTTCCCAAATTGTCTCCTTATCTCTTTTATTTACAGAGTGATCTCAAAAAATTTACTTTTTGGTTTTGCAGTCATAACTTTTTTCCTCATCAACCGATTTTCGAAATCTCAGGCTCATTTTGAAGCTTGAACTCCAGACGAAGAGATATGAAGACCAGAATCGACTCAAGATGAAAATTATACAGTGTGTCTCACTTCTAATGGAAGCACCCCTGTATCTTTCGTAATTGTTGAGTTAGGATTCTGAAATTTGCAAGAGCGGTAGATATACTGAAAATACACACTATGACCAAGTGGAGTCGTCTCCATAGTGATATACGCTGCTCGCCAACAGCCATGGAACCACCCACAAAAATGATATAAGGAGGCAAGATAGGTTGAAATTCACTACAGATTCAAAATCAGGACTTTTGAAATCGATTCATCTCAAAAATGTTGAGTGCAATTGAAACTGAACAAGATTATCACTTTTTAGTAAAAATGATGATATTTTCATAATTCCTAGTCAAACTGCCGAAAACTGCATAGAAACAGATTTGGGGGAAGAATTGCCCGTAGCCCAACAAATTTTTCACGCCCGTTATCTAAATTCCGAAAAATTCATAACATTTTCAAATCGGGCATGAAAAGTTATATACATGTACGAAATTCCATCATATGAACACAGTGGGCTTTGGAAATATTCACAAAAAAACCGAGAAAAAATCATCATCTCGGGCTTTCTTTCAGAAGGCTATAACTGCCCAGAGGGGCAGTTCTGGGCTTATATAACTATGAATTTTTTTCACTATTTCTGTTCCTATAATCCGTGGTTGAAATCTTTTTTTTTCTAAGTAATTCCGGGACACCCTTTCTATTGCTTATTAGAGGGTGATGTCGTTATAGAGCACTGTTATCAAAATTTTCAAAAATCATTCTATAATAATGAAAATTCAAAAAAAAATCAAATGATTCTGAAAAATATCTATTGAATACTTTTTTCTGTTTGTTTATAGATAGATATAATGGAGTATTGAATACAATCAATTCCATATCCTATGGAAATATTCAAATAACATAATAAGTTCTTTCCTAACGATTTGCGTATATTGACTGATAATGATCAGAGTTGAATGTAGGTAGCTAGGTACCTAAAGTGGTATTGTTGCCTAATTATTTATTATTATACTCATGTAAATTTCTACTAAATAGCCATGCAGATAGCTGTAATATGTTGATAATGAATGTTCGTATGTTATCTAGACAATTCGTTTTGTTATCAAATATACAAACGTTTCGGATTTACGTAATATCTAAAGGTATAGATACAGCATTGAACATTGTTTTTCAGTTTTGTTCCTTATTGTAATTTCGAAACGGATCGACTTTTATTCTATTTTCCATTTTCTGTATCTCTATCTAAGAAACTTATTTTGGTAAAAAATTGAAGACTTTGAAGTCATCAACTCATCGGTCTATATATTCGATGGTACGTATACATGCTTGAATGTTGAAAATAATATCGGAATCAATAAGTATCTGAAACTTATCACATTTCTCAAGAAACAATCTATTGGAAATAAAGCGAGAAAAATCCAAAACATTCACCGCTGAAGATATATACCAACAAAATTCTACAAGAAGCTCCCGATGAAGCATATATCTGTTGAAAACGATGAATTATACATTATATTTGAACTCTTTGTTGTCATCAGAAAAACAGTGTATCTTTATTTCATTGCATCAATGGGTAATGTTCAATTTGATTGCAGAGTTTATCGTACTATGGCTCAGAGGTCTGAAGCTCAGGTTGCCACGCTGGTGGTCCAGTTTCAATTCTCGGTAGGCCCGACATTTTTTTTCTGGCTTGTCAGCTATTTAAATTTCTCTTTTTTTTCCTGTATATAATCAAGGGTTTGGACACATGGGATAATATGGATAAGAACTTTTTCAACTATTTCAATCGCTCTTCAGGGCAGTTATTTCCAAAAGCTGCGTCAGTAGAAAAAATCTTGTATGTATTTCGAGCACAAAGTGTTATTGCCGCTCTCCAAATATTACCGCGCTCCGCTCCGCATCGCGCGGTAAATTTCTTTGTCGAGCGGCAATCTATCACTTTGCGCTCTAAATACACGAATAACTATTAAATCCCTATTGCTGTTTGAAATCAAATTTTTCTCACCACCAAGGAATGAATAGCTCCTATCCTAGCACAAGCCAAGATAGTTACAACTGCCTCCAATATCATGGGCATATAAACAGCTACACGGTCTCCTTTTTGGACGCCTCTGCTTTTTAGTACGTTTGCGAAGCGAGATACTTCTTCCAGAAGCCTTTTGTATGTCAAACGACTGTAGTCGTCAGGATGGTTACCTTCCCTGAAAAAAATTGAAATAAAAATGAAATGAAAATAATAATCCTCAATTTCTTAATGAATTTCACATGTTTTACATAATTATACAGTCTGTCCAAGATAAGGTTGAACAGCATGGGGATCTCGAAAACGGTAGGAGATACAAAGTCGGTTGAATGGGAAAAAAGTTGAGCATTCGAAGGCTCATATCATAGTTTTTGAGTTATATCGAAAAAAGTGAATTCTTGGAACATATATATATATTTTTTTCTCCATTATTATTGGAGATACAGAAACTGAGAATACTTTTTGGTAGCAACTTTTGATGACGTTTAACATGGTGATATCGTTTTTTTTATGCGACGTGTCGTATTCGTAGAACCATCATCAACTTGTTTTTCATATACGGTCCTGATAATTTTTTCACAGAGATTCTGAAAAGTTTTTTGATTCTGAATTCAACCATGTATTATACAAGGTGGTTTAGGTGTGTTTCGACCTATTAGATGGAAATTATGTAAAATCATTGTGCGTTTTGGATATATTTTGAGAAAGAAATTTCCAAAAACGATTGAAACCTTGGACATTCAAGTGACGTAAAAAAGACGTCACTGGAACGTCATCTGGTTGCCTGGGGAGAATGCTATCATCGTCCATATGCGACATGTTTTCTGAAGATGACTGTACATATAAAATATCATACTCCAAATTTCGACGGTCATCTGATAACCAAATGATATACAGTGTGTCCCAGCTAGAATTTGTCACCCCCTAATCTCCGATGTAGTAAAAAAAATTTAAAATCGCTCGGACAGATCGATTTCAATTTGGCGAGGGACACATTTTCCTGCAATTATCATATTCCAAAGTTGAAACCTTGAAGCGTAACGGGCATCAACTTTCGATTTTCAAATAGAACACCCTGGATTTCATTGCATTTTTAGATTATTCTTGAAGAGCTGCTTTCATCAATGTATCACACTTGGTGTCTAGCGGGAATGATTACAGAGATATATAGGGTGTTCAAAATCGAGATTTTTCAATTTTAGGATTTTTTTGTGTCGAAACTATTCATGAAAGCAGCTCTTCAGGGAGAATCTACCCAATCAGCACAAATACGTCTTATGGACGTTTTAAAAACGTCTACTCTGGACATTCAGGACGTTTTGGGGACGTCCATTTCCGGACGACGGACGTCTTATGGACGTTTTGGGGACGTCCATTGTTAATAATCAGGATGTTTTGGGGACGTCCAGTTTAGGTCCAGACTAGGACCTTTTTGGTATGAAAAATGGACGTATTGAGGACATTCAGATAATATTGATTATTCATTTTCTGACCCATCTGAAGAGTGAAATACTTGAATATTAGTAAACATTTATTCGCAAACAATAATATGAACAGAGATTTAGGTAGTTATGTTTCAATTTCACTCTTTCATATCGTATATCAGCAGCTGCACCACTAAAAACGTTGCGTGATTCATCCAGTTACGCAGGCGCGATGATGTCTTTTTCTGATTGGCAGCCTTCTGCTGTTGTCTTCCTCACTGGATCTGTAAATAATAATAATATTCAATAACATCTTTTGTGGATACCATGAAGCATAAACACACACCCACTTTCAACGTGTAGTAGTCAGTATAGCTTAATACTTCATTATTTTTATTCCATTGAGAACTTATTGCAAACATAAACTGATTCTTAGGTAGGTACCTATGTATAACCTCTTTGAACCTTGCACGAAATATATTATGTTTTAACTATATACAAAAATATAAACTTTTGTAGATGATGGAAATAGGATTAGGTAGAGCTTTGCATGAAATCAAATTATATAGAAAGGTATCTAATGTTTTCAACTCCAGATTCGATGTTCTTACTCAAGCACCTTCAAGCGAATGAAAATAAAACGATAGCATCGATTGCCATACTTGCCTTCATGCTGCTGTTAGCACAAAACATCTCAATAGAAGTCGAGTTCGAAGTTCACCAGTTGAAAGATGATATCCGCAAAGATTTCACTTATTTACTGCTTTTACAGTCAAATAACCCGAAAAGTTCAGAATGTCCTTGGACCTGAATCACAGTTTAATCGGCACTCGGCAGTGGTCAACTGACGAACGCCATCTTCCCATTTCGTTTCACGTAACGCGCACAGTGTTGCCGGATGAAAATTTTTCGGAGCAGTAGATGGGTGAGGAAAAACAGTAGATCATCAAAACTGAACAGGAGATTTTGATTATCATCATAATTTGCTATTATAAATGAAAAAACATAGTCACCTATTTAATAAACGAAAAAAAAATCATGTTCGGTCTCTATTATACCTAATAAAAATCGAACGAAGAATAACAAAAAATAATGAAATAAAATATGAAATTTGTAAAAACCGCAACCAGATTGAAAATAAGAGCTAATTTTTACTAATCAGACTGAATATGATAGTTGCAGTATATTTTTATCATAGATCTTCTTACTGTGATGTCCCATTAATTTTTCATTGTTGCATATTAGGTAGTTATGTCATATCAAAACATGACCAATCAGACCATTGCCTTGAATAGTTGAACAGTGGAACGGAGACAAAAACAGTAGATCTATTGCTAAAATAGTAAGTCTGGCAACGCTGAGCACGCATGCGTTCTACGGTTGCTTTACATATTTAGTGATTCAATCAAATCTTATTATAAAAGCGCGGCTGGTATGAATACTTCAGTGTGGGTTTAAGAATGGTCAAACTCTATATGTATTATGTGATTGAAGTAATATAAACATAACTATATAAGTAGGTACAAATCAGTTAAAATCATCAATATTTCAAATTCATAATATTAATAATAAAATGAAATATATTAAATTGATTCAGCTGATATATAATAAATTTCTTATCATTCATGTCCATATTCAAATCAATAATTCCAATTTTGAAATTAATAAATACCTACCTACTTATATTAATTTAAACTCATATACCGTGAGAGTCTGTGAATTGGACGTTTTAAAGACGTCTTTTTCTGGACGTCCGGAGTATGTCCAATAATGGACGTCTTCGTCCATTAATGGTCCTGGACGTTCAGACCAAAAATGGACCTAAAATGGACGTCTTCGGGACGTCCCGTGCTATCTGGGTAAGAATGCAATGAAATACAGGGTGTTCCATTTGAAAATCGAAAGTTGATGCCCGTTACGCTTCAAGGTTTCAATTTGGAATATGATAATTGCAGAAAAATGTGTCCCGCGCCAAATTGAAATCTATCTGTCCGAGCGATTTTCAATTTTTTTCACTACATCGGATATTAGGGGGGTGACAAGTTCTAGCTGGGACACACTGTATATCATTTCGTTATCAGATGAGGGTCGAAATTTGCAGGATCGAAACAAATTTTTTTCTTCTCTGGAGAGTTGGGACACCCTGTATTTCGACCCTCCCCAATTTCATAGTGTAGTTGTAGGAACAAGTCGAACGAAAATTGTTTGGTTCATTCTTCATTTCCATTGAATACTTAATAATTGGAAAACAGTACTTCCCATTCATCACGTTGTATAAAAATATAAATGACGTTTTCAATATCCATGAAACAATTTCTACAAAATAAATCCTCAATACCCTTCTGAAGGGCATATTTTATGTTCATTGAAAGAACAATATTATCCTTTTTTCATGTTTCACTGATTCTAAAAATATTTTATATTGGTACTTATTGGTCACCATGTTAATTTGTATCGTCCTGAAAATCTTCAAACTTTACTTTTGATATTCTGTTATTTACGTCCGATTGATGGAATGTTTCATGAAAAAAGTGGGTACTGTTTATCGTATCGAGATCGGAAAAAAAATTGTGAATCATTCGATTACAGAACACTGTTCTGAGAACATTCGAATATATTATCAGTATATCGTTTACTACGCCAGTGTGTATGTGTGTGTGGTGAAAACTGACTGTTAGATTATTTGAATTTGAATTTCTGAACATTGAACAGTGTACCCAAAGTGAAGAAAGGATGCCAGTGAGTTGATATCAATGGGTTCAGATCAAATTCGACACCAATTCTTATGGTTTTCATCTCGGTTTTCATATATCAAGAAGATTCTGATTTTTTGCTGGAAATTTCAATTTTCTTTCCAAGATTTCAACTTCAGAGTGAAACATTCGCCGTTTATATCGAAATCTCAACTTTTATCTCGAATGTTTCGACTTTTATTAGCAAAATTCCTACTTTTTCCGAATTTCGAAATTTTATTTGAATGTGAATTTCTAGAACACAACATCGAGTTCAAAAATCGGTAAAACTGCATTTAGCATGCGATGGGTTTTTTTTCGAAAATTTTGTTTGGTACTTACGTATTTTTGTCTGAAAAACACGAATTTGATAATGAAAATGTGAACAAACCACAATTTATCCAGATATTTCAAAAAAAAGTTCGAAATTTCGACTCCTTTTTCCCCTTGCGTTGGATGCATTTACAGGTACTTGCTCTTCTTATTTTGTCATTGGACACTTTATATACTCATGATGTACTTCAATGACACATTTTTATACAGAAAATTCAACATGAAATATGATTTTTATGGTGAGTTTTTCCTATTTAGTGAGCAAGCATACCAGATGACGGCCATTTAATCCATATAGGCAATCGAGTAGGCAATCCAAATAGGAGATGTCAAATGTCAATAGATTGCTGCCTAGGCAGCAAAGTGGTTACTTTGCTGATTGATATGTATCAGCAAAATTAATAATCCATAAATCGTTTAGAATTTCCTTCATATTTCATTCGAGACTTCCCCGGCAACAAATTCAACTCTATATTTTTTGCCAGCTCCCTTATTTCTGAAGGTTTAAGTACTTCCAGGTCGCTATCACTGTCCATTATATAATAATTTGAATATACCGATATTTTTTCGCACAACTATCAGAATTTCCATGAATTGTCAAACTATAAATTATCATGGACAACTGCGATTTCTATCAATTTCATTTTAATTGAACACTACAAGAAAAATAAAGAGATTCTGGGAATTGT